ATATAAACTCCATTAAACGATCTGTAAAAAAATGGTTCTCTTATTTTTGTCTTTTCTATTAGTTTAATATGACACGAATGTGTATCGACAAGACAGTGATTAAGTTTTATACTTACAATTTCATTCATATTCTTTCTGAGAGAGTATTACTTATAACTATGATTTAAGATCTGTTTTTCCGTCGTGCACAAGATATTAGGCTCGAATTTCATTTGCATAATATTATTTAGTCTCTTCTTTTTTTTACTTTGAGATCCAGCCAAAACTCATTATAGAAGATATGTTAGTTTGAAACAGAATTGCGACGTAACTACGAAGTGTCAATGCAAGAATTCCTTTACATTTCATTTATCCTTATGATACCTTTGTTCAAGCAAACGCTCGGCTGCCTCCGTAAACCCTGATTGCGAAATACCGGAGACAACCGCCATTTTGGACCCGCTTCAAATTTTTGAATGCTTTTATCTGGAGTTTGGATTAATGAATTTTCAAACAAATTATAAAGTAAGCATCATAAGAAGGGTTTCTATTAACATACAAAAAATAAATGAAAAATATTGAAAAACAAAAAATTTAGAAAATACGATATTTTTTAATTTGTATCTCGTAACGACCGGAAGTATTGACGACGCACGAAAAGGTGATTCTGCAAACCAGAAAGTCATGATCTATCATCTCCAATAAGTCTCCATTTCATATACTTAGCTATTTTCGAGAAAAAGGGGCGACAAAATCGCATTTTAAAATCAGAAAATTGTCCATAACTTGGCACCAGAAGAGAATTTTCCAAATTTTTCTTCGGATGTAACAACTTCATATAATGACACATATTTTGTGAAAGTTTTATGAAAAACCGCTGAATAGTTTTCGAGAAATCGCCTGCACAAAATTTTGTCAAAAAAAAAATAATAATAATAATAAGAACTAGATATGAAACTCGTTGCGAGCAACGAGAGGTCTTCCGTCCGATTCCGGAAAGAAAACGTAAAATCGAGCTGAAAGGAAAAAAATTATTTGCACATGAAGAGGATTAAACACTAGTCGTCAGCATGAAAATCCAATGCGCTTAAAAGTACGCTATTAGGACCTCTGCTGCAAATCTACTTTTACATATACTTCTGAAAAAGTGTTTCTGACTTAGAATTATGTAAGACAGGTCAGTATTCAAAATTTACCATTTATGCTCAATAACTTGAATCACATCTTTGAGAAGAAAAAAAAACGTTAATATAAACTCCATTAAGCGAACTTTCAAATAATAGGTTTCTTACTTTTGTCTTTTCCAATAATCTAAATATGACACAAGTTTGCAAGGAAAAATCCGTGGTTAAGTTTTATACTTCAAACATTCATTGATATTCTTCCTCGAGAAAGAATTACTTATAACTATCAATTAGATCTGTTATTCCGTGGTGCACAAAAGATATTACATATCGAATTTCATTTGCACATTTAGTCTTTTCTTTTTCTACTTTGAGAACCAACCAAGTACAATTATAGAAGACGTTAGTTTGAGACAGAATTGCAACGTAACTACGACGTGACAATCCAAGTATTCCTTTACATTTCATTTATCCTTATGTTACCTTCGTTCAAGCAAACGCTAAGCTGCCTCAGTAAACCCCTATTGCGAAATGTTGACGTTGACAGAGAGAGCCGCCATTTTGGGCCCGCTTCAAATTTTTAAATGCGAATATCTCGAGATGGGATTTTTCAATTCTAAAACAAATTGCACATTTCACATTCCTTAAAGAGTCTCTATTATTTGTATAAGAATCAAAGAAAAATAATGAAAAACAAAAAAGTTGAAAAATTTGATTTTTTTAATTCGCTTCCCTTAGCGACCGGAAGTACTGACGACTCACGAAAAGGACATTCCGCATATCTAGAAGTCATGTCCTATGTTCTTCAACAAGTCTCCAGTTCATATCTTTAGTAGTTCTTTAGATCTCGAACTGACAAAATTTCATTTTAAAATCAGGAAAATGGCCATAACTTGGCACCGAAAGGGAGATGTTCAAAAATTCTTCCAAATGTAACAATGGCATATAAGAGCGCATCATCCCTGAAAGTTTGATGAAAAACTGATGAATAGTTCTCGAGATATCGCATGCACAAAATTTGTCTAAAAAATAAGAATAATAATAATAATAATAATAATAATAAGAAACAGTAGAATCACTATAAGGTCTTCCGTGAAGACGGAAGACCTTAACTAGATGAGATCTCGTTGCGAGCAACGAGTAGGTCTTCCGTTGAATTTCTAGATAAGATGAGATGTGATTTTGACTGAGATATTTGTTAAAAGAGAATGACATTGAGTTTTCCCTAGTTAAAATTAAAGTTTCTCATTTTTATCACGATATTCTGAACATCTTTTGTTTGATAAGGCTTATGAAAATACTCCCCCTTTTCGAGACATAAAGCATAAAAAATATAGCATTTTGGTCCCTTGCGACCCCTAATTACGTAACATATGATAAAAATATATTATTATATATTGTTGCAAATCGTTAAGATGAATACTTTGGCCTCAGTACTGTATAACAAAATATTGATCATTAGAGAGTTATAGATAAAAGAATATTGGCCCCTCTGAGCCCCTAATTTTAGGGGTCAGCCCCTTTTTCTTGATATCAAATGAAAGGTCTTGTGATTTTGAAGATTTTTTGTTCAACAATAATTCAGATATTTCTTTTCGTTGTGGAGATATGTTAAGTGGAAATATTTAGGGGCCACTCCTACAAGTCCTTAATGGGGCCGTTTTACAAAAATTCAAAGTATGCATATTGTTTAGAACATTATTCTGACCATCTTTTGTTCAATATTGCTTATCAAAATATTCCCCCTTTTTGAGATATAAAGCTTCAAAGATGTGATATTCTGGCCCCTTGTGACCCCTAATTACGTAATATATTATTAAAATATCATCATATATTGTTGCAAATCGTTAAGATAAACACTTTTGCTTCAGTAATGTATAACAAAATATTGATCGTTAGAGAGTTATAGATAAAAGACTTTTGGCCCTCTGAGCCCCTAATTTGAGGGGTCAGCCCCTTTTTCTTGATATCAAATGAAAGGTCTTGTGATTTTGAAGATTTTTTGTTCGACACTTATTCAGAGATTTCTATTCGTTGTGGAGATATGCTCAATGAAAATATTTAGAGGCCACTCCTACAAGTCCTTAATGGGGCCGTTTTACAAAAATTCAAAGTATGCATATTGTTTAGAACATTATTCTGACCATCTTTTGTTCAATATTGCTTATCAAAATATTCCCCCTTTTTGAGATATAAAGCTTCAAAGATGTGATATTCTGGCCCCTTGTGACCCCTTATTACGCAATATATGCTTAAAAGTTTATAATATATTGTTCCAATTGGTTTAAAATTTAAAAATATCAAAAAATCAAGCAGAAAAAATGATAAAATTTTTTGGTCACATGGGGGATCGAACCCGGGTCGCCCGCGTGACAATCCAACGCGCTAACCATTTAGCCATTGAGATCGCCGCTTCGCGTTTTCAAATGCATATATCTCGAGATTGGCTTTTTCGATTTTCAAACAAATTACATATTTCGCTTCTGCAAAAGGGTCTCGATTCAATTCTAAAACAAAAATATTAAAAAAGAAAAGTTGAAAAATTGCGTTTCTTAAATTTGTTTCCGGTATCGACCGGAAGTAATGACGACGTACGAAAAGGCAATTCTGCAACGCTATAAGTCATGAACTATCATCTCCAATTAATCTTCAGTTCATATCTTAAGCAGTTTTCGCTACTAAATCAAGACAAAATTGCATTTTCAAATCAGGAAATTGTCCATATCTCACGACCAGAAGTGACGGCGTCAACGAAAAAAATTTCCAATAAGGTTCAGATCAGTACCTATCAGATGTGAAAGTTTCATGAGAATCTGCCCGGTAGTTTACGAGAAATCGCATGCACAAAATCGGTAAGAAAAATAATAATAATAATAATAATAATAGGGAAAAAGAAACCGAACGAAAACAAGAAGGTCTTCCGTTGGAGACGGAAGACCTTAATAATAATAAGAAACAGTAGACTCACTATAAGGTCTTCCGTGAAGACGGAAGACCTTAATAATAATAATAATAAACCGAGTAAAAACAATATGTTCCCAAACTCCGTTTGGGGAACATAATTAAGGACCTAGGAATATTGCTTGCAAAGATTTTGCCAATAAGATATATTACGTCGGCTTTTATTTGTTCAATCATTGAGTGAACGTGGTTGTTCTTTTTGACGATAAATGTGAACGGTGGTCCAGGTATTTGACTTTTAGTGAGGGATCAGTTTTATGAAATGTCTGGAATCATTGATATATTTCTCTTGCTGTGGATTTAACTTACCGGTTTTTTGATAGGGATAAGATATATGGTGATGATCGGAACAACTACAGCGTGGAAGATCAAGAACTGAGAAAAAATGACAATCATGATGAAAGAACAATAGATCCAACTTAATGTGCTCTCATAATTTACATACAACTACAACTACTTTATCTATTTAAGTGACTTGTGTAATGCATCATGAAATAGTTCATCTAAATATATATATAAAGAAAACAAGTACTTTACACCCGGCCCTTTGGACCTATAAGTCACCTGGAATTAAATCTTTAAAATATGGTTTGATTTGTTTAAGTAATGTACTTCATTATTGCTTGCTTCTTGATCCTTGCTTATGTTGCGGAATTAAAGCTGGATACTAGTGTTCCAAATACAATTAATGAAGTCAGTGATGCCGGATGTGACTCTGAAGTTAGTTACGCTATAAATTATATTAGGACATGAGGTACACAAAGTGAAACCAAGAATATCAGAGGAGCAATTATACAAATTTAGATTTTAATCAAATCAAGATTTCATGTACTTCTACAATAAGCATATTTTGATAAGTACTTCTAGCATTCAGTATTCTGATCTATACTAACTTGCCATTTTCCCAACTAACTGTAACAAACAGTTACGATCATGTCGTCGCAGATATTCCAAGTCTTGGAATGCTACAAACACAGAATTATAAACATTAAAAGGTGATTGTTTTAACAGAATTAATAACTGCATGCTCGTTACTGTGGCTTAAAGATTGAACATTTGCAATGTTGAATATGAAATAAAATACTTTCCTACATCTTCTACTATGAAAAGCTTCATAAATATGTCCCTGATAAATAAAACTTTATATGATTTCTATTTTAATGAAAAAATAATTTTGGTAATAATTTGTCTTAATTAATTATCTATCATTCAAAATGGTAAAAAGATGTCCAAGTTTGTATTTAATATGCCAAATATGAATTTCCTTAACAAAATATGGCATTTTAATCATGTTTTATGAAATACAAATTAATTTTTATTTGAGAACCAAGCCTTTGGAGCAATTGTGACTGATAAGTGTAATTGTATAGGCTCCAATTCATTATGGCCGCCAAATATGTACCAGGTTTTCTTTTTTTATCAGAATGAAAAATATGAAAAGGACAAGATTATATTTTCTAAACCCATAACTCATATCCACGCTTAATTTTGAAATTAATGTAAAAGTAAGACTAACCAGAGAGAGAAAAGCCTTGAAAAGTCGAGAATTACTAATATTTAAATTGATACTGTTGATATAATCAATAAGTATTATTGTTGAAGAAATCTTGAAATACCTTCTTCGATTTCTTTGATTTGTTACTTCATTTTTCTTAGAGAAATACTCCACTTACCTGAGTAAGGCGAAAAACAATTTTCGTTTTCTGCATTGTCGAACACATCTGAGAATATAAAATGACAAAAAATGAACCAAAATTTTTTTAATCCTAAAAAAAAATTATTTACATAGGGAAAGGTATGCATATACAAAAATGTATGAAATGTAGAATAACAAGATCTGTTTGTTAAACACTGATATCCCCGTATGGCAACATAGAGAAGGTTAAGCTTTCTCAAATGCAGATCAAATATGTGGTACCTAAAGTAAGACCTTTTCATGAAATACAAATGTGAAATAAAAAGCCTTAGCACCACATGTTCAAAGGTTATGACCAAGGTTACCGTTTGTAAAGGAAATACAAACTCCGGTGTCAAGGTCAAAATGTCATATGCATGGTTGTTGGTTTCTAAAGAAAGGCCTTGTCTCAGAGGTTTCATATGGGAAGTATGAAAGTGCGGGCCCTTACTGTTCAAAAGTTATGGCCAAGGTTAAAGTTTGTAAAAAGTAGGTCTAACGTCAAGGTCAAAGGGTCAAAGTTGTTGCTATCCAATGAAATTACTTGTCACAAGGATTACATATGTGAAGTATGAAAGCTCTAGCCATAACTGTTCAAAAGATATGGCCAAGTATAGAGTTTGTAAAAAGTAGGTCAAAATCCAAGGTCAAGGTCAAAGGGGTTAATTGTGTTGATATCCAATGAAAGGTCCTCTCACAAGGATTACATATGTGAAGTTTGAAAGCCCTAGCCCTTACCATTCGAAAATTAGGCCAAATTTAAAGTTTCCTTGTAAATACGGAAATGTCCAAGGTCAAGGTCGAAAGGTCAAACTTTTAATTTCAATAGAAAGGAACTGCCACAAAGAATTGACATTCATAATATGAAATTCCTAGTATCTGCCGTTTAAAAATTAGGGCCAAAGTTTTGTGTAAAATTGGGTCAAACTCAAAGGTCAAGGTCAAAGTTGTTGGTCCTTAATGAAAGGTCTTGCCACAAGGATTAATTAGGTGAAGTACGAAAGCCCTAATTTTAACCTTTCAAAAATTACGGCTAAGGTTGTATATAACAACATGTGTTTGTGAAATACTGATGCCCCCGTATGGCAACATAGCGAAGGTTAAACTTTTTTTATATGCAAATTTAATATATTGGTATCCAAAGTAGGGTATTCTCAATGGAAATATAATTTTGAAATACGAAAGTAGCCCAAGGTTAAAGTTTTTTCATAAGTACCGAAATCTCCAAGGTCAATGCAATTAGTATCAAATGAAAGGTCTTGCCACAAAGAATACATATTTGAAGTATGGAAGTCATAGCCCTAACCCTTCAACAGTTATGGCCAAGGTTACCGATTTTAAAAAGTAGGTCTAACTCCAAGGTCAAGGTCAAAGGGTCATAATTCTTGATATCAAATAAAAGGTCTTGTCACAAGGATTACATATGTGAAGTATGGCATCACTAGAGCCTTTAGCGTTCAAAAGTTATGGCCAAGGTTAAAGTTTGTTTACGGGGGCATAAAAAGTAGGTCTAACTCCAAGATCAAGGTCAAAGGGTCAAAGTTCTTGGTATCCAATAAAAAGTCTTTTCACAAGAATTACATATGTGGAGTAAGAAAGCCCTAGCCCTTACTGTTCAAGAGTTAAAGCTAAGGTTAAAGTTTTTTCACAAGTACTGAAATTTCCAAGGTCAAGGTCAAAAGGTCAAAGTTGTTGGTCCTCAATGAAAGGTCATGTCACGCTTTTAAAAAGTAGAAGATTGCTAAATAATAATAATGATCAATTTTTGGAAGAAATATTTTGCAAAATTTGAGAGTTGACAGTGAATTTCTTTTTGAATCTTGTAATATAAATGAAGCTTACTTGCTGACCCATCCCATATAAGCATTTATCAAAACAATAAACTCAAGTTTTGACAGGTAAATAATTCTTATATTTCTCATATTGATATAAGAGATGTGATCTTAAAGTATCTAGAAATAATTTAATAATTCAATTTTGCTTGTAACACCTTATTTGATTGGATAAAAAATTAGTCTATATCGTATAACCTGTGTTTCTTACGTTACAACGGCTTAGGTCAACAACAGATCCATCAGCCTGACTTTACATGTACATCATTTAAAATATGTATAATTTAAAGGCAATTTTGAAGGTGAAATTATTTTGTACATTTAATGATTTAAATTAGGAATGGATTTAATAGGTTCCCAAGTTATACAGGTATAGCCTGGGATTGGAGCATTTTACACTTTTTATAAACCGCGAGTAAGCGTAAATTGATCCAAACCTAGTTTGTATTTTTTCTGGAAGTAATTCAATTAGTTCGCGGACTTTTTGATCACCCCTTGTATCTTTGCGTTAATTTGGTCCATCACTAAAATGACAGTTTTAATGATGAAACAAATAAATGGAAGCTGAATGGATAAAAGAAATACTAATAAATTTTTAATGACCATTCCTGATACATTTTATTTAATATTGAACTCATAAACAACACTATATTTACACATAACTGTATCTATATTGTTTAATTTGGCAACTCTCTAATATAAACATAACATACAACATACGTCTGTAATGGGAATGGCGTCGATGGCAGTCGTCATGATCATCACGTGTTGTGACCTGTACAGATGAAGAATCCACAGATATGGAGGCTCTCAAGGAACGAGAATCTCCCGAGGATGCGGACGCTGCTAAGTGCAGAATAGAAATGGTAAGCACTAGAATCCCAGGTACCTTGTTACACCTCACTAAAACACAAGGACATGCTTCGTTACAAAAAGTATACAATCATTTCTTTTTTAAAGTTATTATTATTGTTGTTTTTAGTTGTTTTTATTCGGATGACTATGAGAAATCTCTTGCAGCGGCCTTCAGAAAAAAAGTATTTCGACGGCATTTTAATCAAATAGCAGGATAAGTATTTATTCTCTTTCGAGTTCAATTTATCCTGCTGAACTAAAAAAAATATATAATAATAAAAAACTTTCCTTATCTATGAAGCAATAACCCATTGTGAACTGCATATGAATTTTAGATCTCCCAGCTGATTTGCTATGTAAAGCAAGTCCTAAGAACGATTTAAAACAAGAGGTCCATGGGCCACATCGCTCACCTGAGCACTGCAGCTTGGAAAAAAAGAAAAAAATCAGTTAATTATTGAAAAGTTTAAACCCAAAAGTGGTCCCAACCAATCATTAAAGGAGAGAGGGTATGATTTAAACAAACCTGAATCTACACTAACATATTTCTTTGACTACCTGTGGCTTTATTGTTCTTTACATTTGAACTTACATTGTGGCCCGCCCTAACCCCAGGGGTCATGACTTGAACAAATTGAATCTATACTACCTGAGAATGCTTCCATATGAATATGACTAATCATGGCTTCGTCATCCTTGAAAAGAAGATTTTTGAAGAATTTTCTCCATATTTCTACGTAAAACTTGGATTCCACGTTGTGGCCCCGCCCTTCCTCAAGGGGTCATGATTCGAAAAAAAAAATGAATTTACACTACCTAAGGATGCTTCCATATAAATATGACTAATCATGGCTTTTCTATTCTTGAGAAGAAGATTTCAATTAAAGAATTTTTCTATATATTTCTATGTAAAACTTTGATCGGCCATTGTGGCCCCGCCCTACCCCCGGGTCATGTTTGTGCAAACCTGAATCTACACTACCTAAGGGTGTTTCCATATAAATATGATTAATCATGGCTTTGCTATTCATGAGGAAAAGATTTTTATTAAAGAATTTTCCTATACATTTCTATGTAAAACTTTGTTTGTCCACTGTGGCCCCGCTCTACCCCCGGGGGTCATGATTTGAACCAAATCTGAATCTACACTACCTGAAGATGCCTCCCTATAAGTTTTATTTTTCCTGGCACAGTGGTTCTTGAGAAGATTTTTAAATAATTTTCCTATACATTTCTATGTTAAACTTTGATTGGCCATTGTGGCCCCGCCCTCCCCCCAGGGGGTCATGATTTGAACAAACTTGAATCTACACTACTAAAGGATGCTTCCATATAAATAGGATCATCCATGCCTTTGCTATTCTTGAGAAGAAGATTTTTAAAGAATTTTCTTATATATTTCTGTGTAAAACTTTGATCAGCCATTGTGGTCCCGCCCTTATCCCAGGGGTAATGATGTGAACAAATTTAAATCTACACTACCTGAGGATGCTTCTCTATAAGTTTCATCTTTCCTGGCACAGTGGTTCTTGAGAAGAAGATTTTTAAAACATAACACCATATTTTCACTATTTCTGAATTATCTCCCCTTGAATAAGGGCGTGGCCCTTCATTTAAATAAACTTGTATCTCCTTTACCCAAGAATACTTTGTGCCAAGTTTGGTTGAAATTGGCCCAGTGGTTCTTGAGAAGAAGATGTGAAAAGTTTACAACGACGACAACGACGACAGACAACGGACAAATTTTGATCAGAAAAGCTCACTAGAGCCTTTGGCTCAGGTGAGCTAAAAACGAGGCAGCTTATTGACAAGTAAGTAGAAGGTATCAATTTTTTCGCTTGAAGTCAACGTTTTGCAAATTTCAAGCAAACTTATTGGGATTTTTTTTATCTTTGATACAAAAAAATACATCCTGCAAAACACGATTACTTTGTAAGCTTTTGACAATTTTCCATATATACCATAAGTCTTGCTGATTGACATGTTTGCCAATAAATTTTATCTAAATATGAAATCAGTTATGATGACATATGTTAATATTTAAAGATAAGTATTACTTTTCATTTTCAGCTTATATGTCTTTTTTAAAATGGACAGAGTTAAATGAAGTTTTATGGTGGCTTAATCCTCACAAAACTCTAAATTGGTATTTTTATCTTTACTCCTTGGGATCAAATAAGCGTGAATATATTATCCCTAATGTTTTTGAATTCAAATGATGGTAAGCTATTTATCTACACAGGCAACTTCGCCACATATTTTCCAAATATGTGTAACATATGTAAATCATATGATTGGTTTCATATGAGATTCATAAAAAAGGGCATCATATGTGAATCATATGAAGCAAATCATATGATTTACATATGTGTATTCATATGATCCACATATTATTTGCCACATATGATTCTCACATAATTGCATATACATATGATTCTCATATGATCCACATATGATCCTCATATGAAAGGTAATGCATATGAGGATCATATGTGGCTAAATTGCTTATGTACTACTTTTCTTTCGTATCCTCTAATTAATATGATGAGGAAGTCCTGCAAAAATATTCTCTATACATTTGTAATTCTTTTGTTGCAATAAATACCTGTTTAAATGCATATCCCTTTACCGATAATCCTTACAAAGATACTTACTAATTTACCCTATAAACGAAAATGTCAGATTCCACTGTAATCAAACTATATATGTTTTCAGTCATATGGTATATTTTTAAAATTAATTAAGCTCATTGTATCGCGTATTCACAGTTTTATGTGGTTTAGTGCCATAACTGCCTTGTACTGTCATGTTTGTTACAAGTTTTATCAAATTTGTGCGTACTTTCATGTATATTAAAAGTTTTATCAAATGTGTGCCTTGGAAAAATTGAAAGCTAAAAAAAAAAAACTAGTTAAAAGAAGCGAGATTGTGTCATTTGGTAGGTCTGATATAATAAAGATCAGTACGAGTTATTATGATTAGTCGAAATGTTCGAGTCCTCTCGGACTTAAAATATTTTAATCACAAGGAAATTTGTAATCACAACATAATCAAACTATATCAAACTGAATAGATCAGTGCGATGAAGTTGATCAAATTGCAATGAACGTCAACAACCCTACATTTGTAAGAAGTCATTTTTCTGTTACTTAAGCATTGAATTCATATTTTTGGCTGTCTTCGGTCCTATAACACACCTGGCCGTGCCGACAAATTGAATACAGCGCGTTAGCGCGGTATGATAAATTTGTCGGCACGGTCAGGTGTGTTATAGGACCGAAGACAGCCAAAAATATGAATTCAATGCTTATATTTACATTCTCTAATTTTCCTGCTTCATGATTACTTATTTCGTTAATCTTTAATGTGAATTTAGCGCCTTTCAAAACTGACGTGGTTAATAGACGTAAGAGCCGTTTGTGACGTCAGATGACGTTGCAAAGTTAAAAAACGCAAACAAACATTTCGAGGGAAAAAAGTGACAAATTAATTTTAAACGCACATTTGTAGTAATTTGACGTTAATTTAACAGGATGATAATTTTTGCTTAAATTGAGTCAACATATTGTACATTTTGGTGTTCCTAGATTATAGAAAATGCATATAGTTCCTACTGTGTATTCTAACGCGCGGTGACAAGGTTTCGCGTGTGTTATAGAAATTTGAATGTCGTGGACTTCTAATGAATTTCATAAGGAAAAATACACGGAATGTAAATATTTATCCATAAATTAAAGAAAAATTGACTCACTCTCTGATGGTTCTGTTGACTTACACAGGATATTTGAAATCGACTAAAGATAAGGACCAATAAAGGAATTCGTGCATTATACAGGTTATCGACACATGTACAGCGGACTTGTATAATAAATATAGAAAACCAAGTGCGTAATTTAAAGTATTGACATACATATCACTAACCCAAAGATTTACGAGGAATGTATGACAAGAAATTGGTTTTTTAGAGAAAAAAATGGGCTCGATTTGAAAAGTGAAATAAAACTTATAAACACCTAGAAAACCAGAAGTCTCTGTCGAGACTGTAGCTTTACTGGTTTGTACTTATAATAAAGGAAGAGAAAAGTAGCAATTGGGACATAAAACTTTTTAAAAGCAATAATAGAATAATGATCCTTGATTAAGTCTCTTTTTGTGGCAAGATTGCAATAAGATAACAACTGTAAGAGTAGCTTTTAATAAAATTTTACAGAACTGGGAGGATATACTAGTAGTTCACAGAATTTTCTATTTTTAGTAACCACGACAACACTATTCATCGAAATCAAAAACCGATATAGAAAATTATGTATCTTAGCGTAGTCTACTTGTGTGCCAAGTAATATTGAAATCAGACCAAAATTGTAGGAAGAGTAGCATTTTAAAAGTATTTCACAGAAATTTCTATTTTTAGTAACCACGGCAACATCGTTCATCGAAATCAAAAACTAGTAAACAGAATTATGTATCTTAGTGTAATCTACTTGTGTGCCAAGTAATATTGAAATCAGACCAAACCTGTAGTAGGAGTAGCATTTTAAAAGAATCTCACAGAAATTTCTATTTTTAGAAACCACGGCAACATCGTTCATCGAAATCAAAAACCAATAAACAGAATTATGTATCTTAGTGTAGTCTACTTGTGTGCCAAGTAATATTGAAATCAGACCAAAACTGTAGGAGGAGTAGCATTTTAAAAGAAACTCACAGAAATACCTATTTTTAGTAACCACAGCAACACCGTTCATCGAAATTAAAAACCGATACACAGAATTATGTATCTTAGTGTAGTCTACTTGTGTGCCAAGTTATATTGAAATCAGACCAAAACTGTAGGAGGAGTAGCATTTTGAAAAATTGTTTAAAGACAGACGGAAATACAGACGGACGGACGGACGACAGACGCATTACTATCGCATAAGCTCTGGGTGAATTTTTATTGGAATTTTCAGTTGGTAATAAATGCTACAACTTTAAAGTGACTCTGTAAAAAGTGCAACAGAAATAGATATTTTCTTTTTCGTGCTTTGTCGTGCAAGATCTAAAACGTCCATAACAATCAAATCAGCGAGTGCTTCTGATACACTGAGGTGACTTTTTATGCAAGTCATGGAAATACCCCTTCGTCTTGTTCGTCAAGGAAAGCCTGTTCAATTCGTCATGCAGTTTTGATAACGTGTTTATTATGCAACATAACAACTTCACAACATCAGGGGTCCTGAGTGAACACGTTTCCCTTGGACCCCTGATAAATTTCATTCTATATTTTGCGGGGTGACTGCAGCGGCGTCTTTTAGAAAAAAAATACAAATCTAAATTGTTTTTTCTTTTATTTCTCATCATTATGATAAACAATCATTATGCATAGCACGTGCATATTAGGTGTCAACCGATTCCTTTCTGCATATAACATCGGTGTACTTCAGTTTGATTGTTGCTTCTCAGTGAGAGAAGCAAACCCAATAAAACCAAATGAAATTTGTCTGAGGTCCAACAGCAACGTGATGACTCTAGATTCCTGACGTCGTGAGGATGGCAACATAAAACACTTAAACATTTTGGCTTCCCCCAAAACAGTTAAATTTTCAATATGGAGTCTTGTTAGAGATCTGTAAACCAAGAGAATTTATGTAGTGCTCATCTGTTCCTCTTGGTATAGGAAATGATCATATGACATGAAAATTTAGCAAAAAATATTTATCAAAAAAAACTCAGTACGTATCCATTCATCATTTAGATATCAATAATAGTATCAGAAAATCAGAGGCACCGTGGTACAAGAAAATAGGTCAATGGTTTAGAACAAAATCATTTATTGCACAAAGTATTTTAAACATTACAATGATACAAGACTCATGTACATAATTCTCTAATAGGTAATTTCATAGAAGTTCGAGGCAATATGTGCGAAAGTTTCAAAATGTGTGGCATGTCGGGCAAACTCCTGAATTTCAAATTTACCACCACATTCTTGTGTAGCGATCTACAAGACAACAATATTAGGACGATGAACCATATTGCTTTATAAAGAATATTTTATGTAGAAAATAATTTCATAGATTCACAAAAATATTTGGACGATTAACAACTAAACACATTTTGGAACAATTTCGATACATCTATCCACTGTAATTGACGTTATATGTACCAAATAATTTACGCAATTTACAAATTTGAAAGGACCATCAAATTTAAGTTTCATTTATAAAAAAGTTGAATGTGCCAATATGGTCAGTTTTGTCATTAAAGGTAAGGTTATTCCACAGAAGATTATTAAAATGTTCAAATATATAGTTTTAAGGTAGACTTTTCTCAGGAATTTATTTATTGCATACATAAATCATATTTTTGACATCACTTGTAGAGGATTCATATCAGTGAAATACACCACCTACATGTAATAGATATTGTGAAATAGTGAAAAAGAGAATTCCAAGCAATGCATGTGTCGCATATATTTCTATGTAAATCTTTGATCGGCCATAGTGACCACTCCCTACCCCCAGGGGTCATGATTTGAACAAACTTGAATCTAAACTACCTGAGGATGCTTTCACATGAGTTTCATCTTTCCTGGCCTTGTAGTTCTTAAGAAGATTTTTAAAAGATGCCATTTATTTTTCACTAATTCATAATTATCTCCCCTTGGAAAAGGGCATGGCCCTGAATCCCCATCACCCAAGGATGCTTTGTGGCAAGTTTGGTTGAAATTGGTCCAGTGGTTCTTGAGAAGAAGATAAAATGTGAAAAGTTTATGCCGACGCCGACGACGATATCAACGACGACGACGACAGACAACGGACAATTTTATTTTCATCAGAAAAGCTTACTTGAGCCTTCGTCTCGGGTGAGCTAAAAATCTGAGTTTGACCAGCTATTCATTTGCATATAAGTATAATAGCCCATGATTTGGCTTGCAAGGAAAATCAAAGTACTGATGCGGTACTGAAGACGGAGTCAATTGATAACTTTAATATAGCAATCATACATTTCTTAACTGCTAAAGAATTTTTTAATAGTTTTTTACCAACTTAAAAATCAGAAATTTAAAACTAGAAATACTGGGCAAAAAAAATTATAAAAAGAATTTAGATTCATGGATATAGAAAAACTGTTAAAGAACCTAGCAACATTATCTTAATTAACTAGAGCTGACATCTGACATGATAGTAAGTAAACAACAAGGAGACAGTCTAATATAACGCATCCGAGAAATTTGTTTACAAATAATACTAGTTATTTTCAAAATCAAAATGTTATACCACTGTGGTAAAGAGAAAGATCTTCATTTCATGGTAAAAAGTAAAGATCTTTAAATTACTTTCTTTTGTTCGATTTAACTTGTGTGTCTTTGGACTGAATTGATATCTGAACTTTTTTCCTTAGGTAGATTCAATTGAAGTGCTGAGCGCACGGCTTTTGCTTGAAACATAAACTATCGTGGACCCCCTGTTGAAAAATATCCATAGCCTTTATAATAAAGTGTGACAACCAATCACAATGTGATTCGGCATTTCCAAAACCCCAGAGTTTAAATGAATAATTAAATTGAAATTATTGGAAATACTTTTTATGTATTATATATTTTGATGAACAAACCTTCAGATTCGTGATTAAAAAGAGTTTTCAGTCTGTCTTTACTGAAATTGTCATTACATTTTTATTTGAAATACAATCCACTTCGTGTAGTAAAGGTGTATCAAACAGCTTAGAGGTACAGTTTCAAGAGCTCATATACGTGTAATATACTTGCAGTAATCGAAGCCCAACGTCTCAGAGATATAAATACATATATATATATATATATATATATATATATATATATATATATATATATATATATATATATATATATATATATATATATATATATATATATAACTGATTGGAGTATTTGAAAAGTAGGTCAAAGGTCAAGGTAGAAAGATGACGCTGATATTCTATATCATGTCTTATGACAGTCAGTGTATATGCTAAAAGCACAGACTTACCACTCAAATGTCGTATGTTGTATATCGGCATAAGGAAATGTTCTGAAACCAGGTCATTGACAAGTAGATGGGTCACCGGGTAGGTAAGAATGGTATGTTACAAATGCCATAGTGCTAAGCAACACATTACCAAAACATCATATACATATCTCTCACATTTCTCAAGTTATAAGATGTGAAAGACGGACAGATTGACAGACAGGGGTAGGGTTAAGTAATCCCTAAATGTCGCTCAGCTTTGCAGGCGAAAAACAAAATTTAAAATGTAAGACATGTATATGATATTGAATTGGCACGTACTCTGAGAGACGTATCAGTACAACCCAAGAATACTCCGGCAAGTCCATCCAAGGGGTAAGTAGAGGAACTAAAAGTTGCAACTGGTATATAAGGCTTCAGAGTGTCGCATGCATCAACTACCTGCGTTACAAAAGCCAAATTAAAGAAATCGAACAACAATAAATAGTTTTTATAAATTATAATTTATGTTATCCGAATATAATTGCTGAAAAATTACTGAGGAAAATGTAATTGTTTTTATTCATATTCCATCTAGTTCCAAACTAAAGCTTGTGAATTTTATTAAGGTGAAGTTTCATTAAGATTGTTAAAGTCATCTCTGATTGAAAATATATATGCAAAGTTTACGATACACCTGTTAAGTTGGATCAATCAAAATTTAACAAGAGGCAAAGGGGCCACATCGCTCACCTGAGCAACTGGCTATGTAAAACGAAAAGCAAAAATCAGTTCAGTATTGAAAAGTTTAAATATAAAAGTGGTTTTAAGGGTGGATATTTTAACAAAATTCAATCTATACTTCCTACAGATACTCTTGAATAAAAATGATACATAATGATTTTGTTGTTTATAAGATGGAAATTTTATTGATATAGCCTTTATATTCCTTTGTATAACTATGATCCACTTTTATGGCTCCTCTATTCTCCTGGTTGGTCATGATTTGAACAAACTTGAATCTTCACTATCCGAGAATGCTTCAACATAAATATAAACAATCACAGATTTGCTGTTCTTGAGAAGATTTTTAAAAGATTTTTCTAATGTATGTATACCTATGTTAAACTTTGATACCGATTGTGGCCCCACCCTACCCCTGGGGGTCATGATTTAAACACACTTGAATCTACACTACCAGAGGATGCTTCCATTTAACTATGAGCAATCAACGCTTTGCTGTTCTTGAGAAGAAGAATTTTAAAAAAAGTTTAGGGATCATGTTAAACTTTGATCCCTCATTGTTGCCCTATCCTACCCCCGGGGGTTATGATTTGAACAAACTTGAATCTACACTGTAAGAGGATGCTTGAGTTTCATTTTTCATGGCCCAGAGTTTCTAGAGAAGATTTTTAAAGACTTTCCCTATGTATTCCTATGTTAAACTTTGACATCCCATTGTGGCCCCACCTGGGATCATGATTTGAACATACTTGAATCTACACTACCTTCCACACGAGTTTCAACTCTCCTGACCCTGTGGTTCTTGAATAGAATAATTTTTAAGATTTTCCCTATGTACTAGTGTACTCCTTTGTCAAACTCTTACCCCATATCATGGTCCCACCCTACCCCGGAGGGTCATGACTTGAACAAACTTGAATCTACACTACCTGAGGATGCTTCCACATGAGTTTCATTTTTCCTGGCCCAGTGGTTTTTGAGAAGAAGACTTTAAAAAGATAATTTTTCACTAATTCATAATTATCCCCCCTTAGAAGAGGGTGTTGCTCTTTATTTGAACAAACTTGAATCCCCTTCACCAATAGATATATTGTGGCAAGTTTGGTTGAAATTGGCCCAGTGGTTCTTGAGTAGATGACGAAATGTGAAAGGTTTACGACAACAATGACGCCAACAACAACAACGGAAAAATTTTGATCAGAAAAGCTCAAATGAGCCTTCGGCTCATATGAGCAAAAAATTTACACTTGTTTTTTTGGCTTTAAGTATATAGACCAAACGAGAGGTTATAGTTAAATTGATCCTGCTACCGAATTTATAAGGCATCACTTTTTCACGATTTTATTTACAACAATGATAATATGTTACCGACTTTTTTTTCTAGTTGTTTGAACAAATCTTTTTCGAAAACAAAGACTCTGAAAGACTTCCAAAAGAACATATGAACTGAAATTGTGCATGAATAATCGAATGCATGTACCAAGGCCTCTTTAGACTGATGTTTAACAGAGAAATTATGTACCCTTTTGCCTGGTTTCCAGTACTTTGAAATAGGAACAAAATCACACAAATCCCTGACAATTAAATTGGAGGTAGAAATGCGTCTAGAACAGTTAGTGTTGAATTCTGGGTAAATTTGTTGAAATTTGGCCAGCTCTGTGACAGTGCGGATTTTAGAACATTCAGTTGATTGACCTATTCCAAAACACAAAATTTTATGATTTAGTTACTCGATCATCTTAATTCTAAAAGATCAATTTTTAAAAAATAATTTAGAAGAAAATGTTCGTCGCCTGATTCCTTATTAAATATTGACATCCGGACTATTTATGAACTTGGCTTAAGTTGAAGAAACTGTTGGCATTGAAGAAGCGGATATTCTAGTAATTGTAGGATAATTATTGTTGGTGTTTCTGTTGATGCAATGGTTGTTGTCGGTTTACTTGTGGTTGAAGTTACGGTTGATGTCGTTGAAGATATTGTTCTTGTTGTTGTCGTCGATGGTGAGGTTGTTGTTGTGGGTTGAGTTGTTGTTGTTGTTGTTGTTGAAGGTGATGGGGTCGTTGTTGTTGTTGGTTGTGGAGTAGGTGTTGTTGTGGAAGGTTGTTTTGTAGCCTTTGTTGTCTTTGTAGTCGAAGAAACTAGTAAGTAAAAACTAACACGTTAATTATTATCACAAGTTTGGCTTTCCAGAAAGCCTGAAATGTCATCTCTTTGGCTTCGTTAATGTCACAGAATAAACAGTGGAATGTAACTTTTTCTCAGCTATTACATGTTTTTCTATATTATTCCTCTAGGGAAGGGGAGTAGCATATTATTTGAACAATATTAGATAAAGAAAATAAGAGTAAAAACCCTTTGTTGTGGATAGGAAGGAAATATTTTGATACATTTATTTGGGGAAGCTGTATATTTATTGCACACAAAAAAGTGCGCTGTTTTTCCAATTATTTCTCCATTCTCCTCCTGGCCCTGAAAATAAGATTATCGAAAAAAATTGTTTGCAAGATAAAAAAAAATCTTTTTTTTTTGCAATATAATTCGGTCTAACGCGCTTCGTGCAGATGTCAGCTACGAAAGCACTTGAGAGAAATGTAAGAAATTTCTTTAAATTCATCTTTTTTGCAACTGAGGTAAGAATTTGAAAGAATTTATCCAGAACCAAGCGCAAATTATTGTGCGCAATAAATATACAGTTTTTTCAATTGTTGGCACTGTAGCTCTCCGGTCTGTCAATATATTTTTTCGGAGAGCTACAGTTCTGCAGCAAAGAAAAATGATTGAAAGTTCTTTAATAATAAACATGAAATTAAACTCCTTAAAAAGGATAGATTATACTTGCAAAAAAAAAAAATACTAATGCTACTTTGTGTTCTTTAATCTTCCAATGTCCGTAGTTTCTTATGGACATTAATGTATCCGCTTATATATATATATAGTGTAACATGTGCTTTTAATTTCTGAAGGTTCCGGCTTTACTCTTAATACATTAGATCGCCTAATCAGACTTAAATGTATTATTTCTAAGAAATTACAGCAAGTTTATAGAATGACTAATGAACCAAAAAAATTGAAGTTTTCGCCATCAATCCATATCAGTAAATGCGATTACTTATATGAATGTTTTGAATTTGATGCTGTTTTTCTGTGAATTCTTGGATCCACGCGTCGGCCACAGAGGATCTTTAGAAAATTCCATCGAGTTCTCACCATCATTTACGTTTATAGCAAAGAAGACTTTACATGAGAACATACAGTGCATGCATGCAACATGTATATTAGAAGAACCCCCACCATCCAGGCAATTTTGTATGTCTGACTCTCTATGGTGCACAGATTGTTTTTTTTTTCTCAATAATAAGGCAGATCGCTCATTGTTTACATCTCGATCTATATTTAGAAAATCGCATCATCATCAAACTGACCAGTCGGTAATCCTCGGGTGCCCTCGCACTTTTTGTATAGAGCATAGTGGAGTCAGCCGAGGATTGCCGATGGATATAAATGGCAGCTTACACTGTGACTTCACATCCGGAAATCAAACTTAATGTGTCATCTCTCGTGAGAGATGACAATAATAATTGATTTTATTTCAATTCTTTTAAACATAATAAATTATATCAATACTTTAGTACATTTCATAAATGTTATGTAACTGCTTTTAATCTTCAAAACATGCCCCCTAAGAATTTTAATATGGTATTAGTTTACTATATTGAATAAAGATTATTTATGGATGCAAATCATTGTGTAAATTCAATATTTAACAATGGTATTCTTTCGTAAGTATAAAGAAAAATGTTGAATCTTTAATAATAATTACTAAAGATGCTAATATTAAACGAAACCTCTATGGATATAAATTTGCCAAAAGTTAACCAAATTTTTCATAATTTAAAAGAACTATACCAGCGTGGCAAGAACATGGATCTCCTTGTCGGAATACAGCACCTATTATTGTATGAAAAATAAAACAAAAGCAGCGAAGGATTATTTTGAAATGAAAATCATGTCTTTCTATATGTCTGAATTATAAAATATTAAATAGCAAAAAAAAAAAACAAACAAAAACAAACAAACAACAAACAAAAACAAACAAACAAACAAACAAACAAATGTTCTCAAAAAGATTCTGAATTCTTAAATAATTTCCAGTTCTTCTAGATTAAATCTCAGTGAGCCACTTTTTGTGTCAGCTTCAACGCAAGAGCAGCAATTAGAGATCCCTTTACCCGACGTCTGTTCGTCCGTCCGTCTGTCACACCTTATATCTCGAGAACTGTAAAAGGTATGGATTTAATATTTTGCACATATGTAGCTTGGTACTATTGCATGTGTAATTTAACATGGCTTCCGACCTACTTATCCTTGAACTTGACCTTTGACCTACTTTTCAGTATATTTCATATTGCCGATAAATGACTTCTTTTTGACATCCAGGCGGTAAGTCTATTTTATTTAGAAGGTGCACTGTTTGTCAAAAAACATTTTGAAAAACGCAAGATTTTCAGTCCATTTGACCTTTGACCTACTTAGCAAAATACACTGCAGATGGTCAAATTTATCTGATGCCTTTCGTATTTAGAGAGATATAGATTTGATACCAAGTAATTAACATTTATGCATGTTCATGAGCTAATGACAATTGATTTGCACTGTGCGAAATACAGTGATCACAAAAACTGAAATTTAAGTACTATGAAATACATCGGGATCGTTATTCCAATTTGGATGGTATAGACTGACAATTGCGGTAAAGACACTCTGAAGACACTTTTAAAGAATTGTTGAAATCACTTACTAATTAATTAATTAATTGATAAATAATAATTTATGATAATTAAAATTTAATTAAATATCCATTTTAGCTTTAGGGTTAGGGATTCGTATTTCTATTTGATTGTCAAATTCTATTGCAGTCTTACTACCCATTCATTTTATCGCATGAACAATAATGCTAGTAGCAAATCAATAGCCGACCACTCTTAGATTTAGTTACATCTACAACAAGGTTAAAAGCAGGTGACACATGCATGAGTTCCTTGGAACACTCCACTTTTTCTTGGCATGCTGATTAAATAGCTAGAAACCACATTCGATAAGGATGTTAAAAAATATTAAGTTGTGACAAGTAAATGTTTGTCTTATCGAAAATAAGGATGGTTCCTTTCTACACATTTCATTTACAGTTGCCCGAGAGAAACAGTGATTACAGCTTTTTCTCTTGAGTCGCGGAGTAAGGTGTTTTTCTTTCGCTGCGGGTATCGAATTCCACTTTGGGACTGATCCTTCAGATGAGCCCATGAAACCGAGGTCTTGTGTTGCAGAAGGTGCTGGCACGGATTAGATTCCCAACCTGCTCATAGTACCTTAATATGGAGTATTGGTTTAAGATTTCAAACCTTTACCATCAAGTGTTGGACTCTCAATATGAGTAATAACAAAGTTCTTGAAAGGGACGTTAAACAAACAAAACAGAGTAAATACTGTACATTTACTGTGTTGTTTTAAAGATCAGAGAGAAGGATTATCCAACAAAGAAAATTTCAACTCAAGCGCTACGTTTGACTTTAGATATTATTTGTATAAGCAATGAATAATCATTCTTACCATGCAAATGGTTGATCAAGTCCACCAAGCAGCGTTTGCCATCATGGTTGTGTTGTAAAATATTATTAAGTTCCCGCCAAACTAAATAAAACAATGATTTGAATGAGGAACATGAACAACATTGTCAAGATTTTGAATAGAGTATATATAATACTGCATATTTTCTTATTTGAAAGGTCTTTTTGCATAAGTTCGTATAAGATGAGACGTACGAAATCTAAGTCAATGAATTGCGACAAGAATTAACATACTAGTATATTATTAATTTCATATTCATATTTACCAATCGTTCAAAGTAACTTAATTTATATTTACCGCTTGTATGAGAATGGCAGCTCCGAGCAGTTGGACTAACAGCAATCTGGTTGTCCAAGAGATGGGCCAATGCCCCTTAAATAACCTCATATCATCAGTAGGCATAACGATAAAATAAATATGTAACAAATAAGAAATCGACTGTCTTGAAGTATTTTTTAATGTTAACCTACAGATTGAGGCTGATTGATAAATGTTATTGATATTAACTCTTTTAAATTGTATGATGAGAGTGATCAATAATTTGAAAAATTGCACATAATTAAAAGAAATGAGGTCTTGTTTCCAATTTCAAAATCAGGTTAAAAGGATGTAATACCGCTATATGGAGAACTATGTTGATATTTTGCACAGGTCAAAGTAGTATGATCTGAAATCAAAGCAATAAAAGGATAACGAGTACATGTTATATAATTAATATTATTTTAATTAATAGGGAGCATATGTATCTGTCTGTATTTCTCAGTCTATAATAAACTGGTATTTTGACATTGAGTGTGCGATAATTCAGTATGATTTGTTCAATTACATTACTCTTCTCAGAAAAAAATTTAGGGCTTCATTTTTGACAGACCCTTACATACCTGTATAGCTTGCATAATGCAGATCAAATGCTTTAGTACAAGAGCACTTATCGTCTGTACCATTTGGAAAAATAGCTGTAAGAAGAATATTAAGAAATTCCGGTATGAAACTTAAAATGAAATATTTTAGAGGGAATTTAGATTGTTAAATTTCAGACGGGAGTATTTATTAAACTATTATTTTTAGTTTTATAAGTTATTCTTCGACATTTTTAGAATTGTTTTAAGTGGAAAGAGAAACATGATCTAATTAACAACAAAACATAATATTGGTTTTAGAACATTGAAAAAAAATCTTTTTATTTAGATACTAAAAAAATGTTCATTTTATAACACTTAGAAATGCTGATAAGTACAACTTAGTTGCAACTAATATCATTAAGTTTACTTTTGATAGTTCTTCAAAAAAATATATAGGGCAATAAGCTTCTATAATATTTATTTGAATATTTGATGGCAAATCATTCCTACCTGCCATCTGTTGTATAACCGTCTCCCTGTTCATGTGATGTGGATATCCATATTCAAAAGTAAGGAATTTCCATACTAGAGAAACAAAAACAATACATTTTCTTGTTAAGTATATTTCTGATCTGACAAACTGAATAAAAGTATTTTCATTTGATTAAATTATAAATGTTAAGATGCATTTAAAAACCAATCATCGACTTTCAGATTTGTAGCTTTGTGTTTTGTCGGTATATATTTAGAGATTGCTTTGCGATCAACCCATCCTTTGATCTACTTTCATAATTCGATGTTTCAAAAGAGTCGTGAGTTGAACATCTCGATTTAATTTTATAGCAAATTTTAAAAAATAAACATAATAGTTTCAGTTTATAAACTATATGGAACAGACAGAATAAAATTTATGTTTGCATCTCCAAACACAAAAATGCATGAAAAAGTGGCAAGATATCTGTATTTTTACTGTAGGTAATTAATCTCGAAGTTTTGTCAACATTCCTGCAAGAAAAAAAAACTATCTGATTTTAACAACTTAATTCTTATCCAAAAACTCAAATTAGTAATTTGATAATTGAATTGAGCATAAAATTTCAATTAAATATAAAGTTTTCATAAAAATAATTCACCGACGGATTCGACTGTGCAGCATTTTGGTTGGTATGGAGTTATAAGATGTTTTTAAAGAATTAAGGAGGAATTATAGAATATTGGAGATAAAATAATTAATATTAATTATCATTAGATGTTTCATCATCATAGCATTAAAACTGCTTTCATAAAACATGATGAAAATGCTATAATACCAAAAATCAAACAAAGCATACCCGTGTGTTCACTAAGACACTCTCCATTCTTATAGGCTTCGTATTCTAAAAAAAAAAAATAAATATTCATATACACATTTTAAAATATTTTTCATATAATTATACATTTTTTAAACACTTTAAAATGCCCCCAGGGAATTTATTTCATAGTAAGTGCATAAGAAGTATGTTTTAACGTTTTTATAAATGAATGAGTTTTTCAGTGCTTGGTACATGTAATGTTTGTTACGCTTCAGTATCATAGTTGAAATTAGTATTGTCAGTGAAGGCTACAAAAAACTAGGACTTCTCAAGAAATTTAAATTTTCAGTTTCTAGAGATACGTTATCCAAACTTTACACTTCCTTTATTCGACCACAACTTGAGTATGCATCTGAAGTTTGGTCAGGCTGTTCGCTGGCAGATATTGATAAACTTGAAAAGCTTCAACTGACAGCCGCAAGAATAGTGACTGGTCTTTCAGTATTAGCATCAAGAAATTCGTTGTATATTGAAACAGGTTGGGAACCTCTTGTAATAAGAAGAGACAAAGCCAAACTTTTAACAATGTTTAAAATCCACAATAACCTAGCTCCTGATTAAAAAACACTGTACCGATGGTTAGAAACACTGTTTCAAATTTCAATTCTCGAAATTGATTTGATTATTCTCTACCTAAATGCAGGCTTGAATTATACAACAAATCATTTGTCCCCGATACTGTTCGCAAATGGAATTCACTGAGCAACGAAACAAGGGAAATAACCTCAATAGGAATTTTTAAAAGAAAATTGAGTAATAAAAATGATAAGCCTCCCAAGTACTTTTCATATGGCAGAAGGTATCTGAACATTTTACATACAAAATTAAGACACAATTGTATTTCAATTAATGATTTGTATAGATGTAATATCACAAGTAATCCAAATTGTTCTTGTGGTATGAAAGAGAATAGTCATCATTTTTTCTTTGTTTGTAGAAAATATTTTGAACCTAGACGCTTAATGATGAATGCACTACTTGTAACTCATAATGTAAAAATGATCAATGTGCATAAATTGCTATGGAGAGATGATTCCTTATCGTCGCAGGAAAATGGAAAAATATTCGGTATTGTTCAAAAATTTATTCAGGAATCAGGTCGTTTTAATTAACACTAAATTGTATTATCTCTATTGAAATTATTATATTTTTATAATATCAACACTGTATTTATTATCACCATTATTAATAATTGATATTATTTCCTTATTCATAAAACAATTGTTTTTGTTCTTCTATGTACATGTATATATTATTGTAAAATTTTGTAAATGTTGTATGGCTATTCAGATTTTATGTATGGGAGAGGACTATCTAAATTTTTGGAACTTGTGTCCAATCCCTTTGACATATTGTCAATAAAATATGTTCAAACCAAAACATAGTTGAAACACGTAAATTCCATATTTGAGTAATCGGGCTCTGCCGGTAACTACATATTTGTTGGAGGAGAAGCAAATCCAGTTTGTGATATCATAATTGAAATTTTTTCAAAAATGAATACAAAAACACAATATTGTTACTTACTTTCATCCGGTGAGAGTTCGTGGTTTGGAAAATGTGTTACATGTACTTAAAGATAGAATATCAATAAAATAAGTAAACATAAAGGAAAACCTATTTTATTGTAAATAAAAACATTTTTGGCAGCAAATTTTGTAATAAGATACTGTTGTTATAATTATATACTCATCATTGATAACATAAATGATTAAGGTCTTTAGATTAGCCACCAGACATGTAGGTGGGGGGCATCATTTATTGTTGGCATCTGGTGAATAATTACATGTCAACAGATGGAATTTGCAACCTGGCATGGCAGGGACACTGTGTATGCAATAGCCATCTTGATTAATCCAATTAGCTAATTAGCCAATCAGATTGAAGGAACCTATACTGAAATCTTATCTTGGTCAGAGGTATCTCAATTATTCACTTTTTTGTTTTAAGAGCTGCTGGACGCACCTAAATCTTAACAAGAATTCAATTTACCCGATGCCAGTTTACCTTCAATTCTTACGGATTACTAGTATTTAGAATCATCTCAGAAGGTATAGGCCACCCATATCATTTCTCTATCTATCTGTTTTATACATTTCAGTAATTTATAATCATGGTTCATCGGGTTCTAGTTATTGGTCATTCATTTGTACATAGGTTAGAATCATTTCTTTTCAAAGAAAGAGCATTGGGTTGGTATAATATGGGATTTGATGGAACTGAGATACAGGTTGAATTTGCGAGTTTGAGTGGCGGAACTTTGAGGCCTGGGCCGAAATGCATCCAGTCACGAAAATTCATGGAAGTGTTTCACTCCTTTCAACCGCACTCAGTTTTTATTCAGATTGGTGGAAATGATCTAACGCACGAAGATCAACCAGAGCGGTTGGCTCGTGACATTAGATCATTTGCAGAATTCTTGATTACCGCTTATGAAATTAATCATATTGTGGTTGGTCAATTGTTACCGAGGTATTCCGAACGTTCGGGACCTAGGTACAATGACAAGGTCGTTGAAGTGACTAAACATCTCAGTTATTGTTAGAATGTGATAATGTTACTTTGTGGAAACATCGAGGTTTGTGGAAGGATACAGCTTCTCTTTTGTGTGATAAAGTTCACCTTAATGATGCAGGTATGCGAATCTATGCAAAAAGCGTCCGAGCAGCTGTAGGTTCAAGTAAACGAAGATAGAACAAATTCGAACCCTGTGATGTTTCTTATTGTTTACGATTTCGCAAAACCTTTGAATTGGTTACCCGATGTTGATTAGATTAACAAACATTTCAATTTGGAAATTTACGGCGGTTAACGGCCTGTTCATGAAGGATTCGATTATCCAAATCTTGAAATTCGCAGTTACATGTACATGTAGGTACTTGTAGTAGACCATACAAAACTGAAAAGCAAAGAATTGATTTTCAAATATTTACAAAAATAGTTTGTATCAGTTTAAAATTCCTGTATTGGAACGGTTACTATCAGTCAGGTTTATCTAAATGAGCATTAGAATTAATTTCTGAACAGCTTTATTAATTATTATTACTGTAAGCTAAATAATATCTTATTACATTTAACATGTTTAATTGGTGATTGTGGCTATTTTAGTAATTTTAATTCCGTAATTTGTCCAATATGCACCTACTTTTTGATCAACTGTGATGAATTATTATGCTCTAACTTGGCAGTTATTGGCATTATCTACATGCATTTACAAAATTTATCACTTGTATTGTTTTGGCATTCATCTGTCTCATACACTGGTTACATTAGGATGTTCTTTTGTGATGCTTAGGCACTGTGTGCATCTTTATACATTTTGGCATCGTTGTGCATCATTATGCACTTTGTTTATTGTGATGCTTAGGCATCGTTGTGCATCATCATGCACTTTGTTTATTGTGATGCTTAGGCATCGTTGTGCATCATTATGCACTTTGTTTATTGTGATGCTTAGGCATCGTTGTGCATCATTATGCACTTTGTTTATTGTGATGCTTAGACATCATTGTGCATCATTATGCACTTTGTTTATTGTGATGCTTAGGCATCTTTGTGCATCATTATGCACTTTGTTTATTGTGATGCTTAGGCATCGTTGTGCATCATTATGCACTTTGTTTACTGTGATGCTTATGCATCATTGTGCATCATTATGCACACTTTTCTTTGTTATGCTAAGGCATCGTTGTGCATCATTATGCACTTTGTTTCATTTCATTGTGATGCTGTGGCATCATTGTGCATCATAATGCATTTTGTTTTATTATGATGTTGTGGTGTCGTTGTGCATCATTATGCATCTTTGTTGTTTTTTTCGATGTTTTTTGACATTGGTTGTGCATCAGTATGCACTCTTGCACTCTGCTTCTGCTTATTAATACTTTGGTACTTGATCATGTTGATTATAATTGTAAAATTTTTGTTGTTTCATTGTAAAAATGAATTATCAAACACAATTACCTAATTATAAACAATTTTTCAACTCATGAATATTATATTACCAAGTCCATCATAACAGGATATATAATTCCTTTTTAGCATAATCGGTTAGATTTTTGGTTTCTTTCCTAATACAAATTTTATTTATTTATTGAAATAGTATTCAAGATGCCCAAACAGAAGAAAAAAGGTTCAACCAAAGTGTCAGAACCAGTGGCTCCTGGAAGAAGGGGGAGGAATGCCAGCAGAGCCAAAGCACCCAATGCCGAGAGCCCAGCTGTAGAGGCCCCAAAAATCCCAACTGCTGATGAAATTGCTACAGCATTAATCGCCAATCTGAGCGGAAGACAGGACACAACCCTTTCATCCCTAATAACTCAATTGAGGGGGAACCAATCCACAGATGGACAAGTGACACAGGGTCAAGCCGAACACATGACAGTTGATGATGCAACCTCTTCTCAACCCTCATCGGTAAACGGAGCCTCATCAGCCTTAGGTACAATGAGTAACATTTCAAACAATGCTTCATACGTTTTAAAAAATTCTCTTCCACTTGGGTTTAATGTGGAACAAAAATTAAAGAAAGACATTTGGGAGGACAATTATATTGAGTTACCAAATCTGGTTCCTAGCTTTAACGAAAATCAAGAAGACGAAATTTTGTTTAAGTCAAAGGGTTTCAAAATCTCAACAAATGCAAAAAACAAACAATTTGTATCAATTCACCAATGGTCTGAAGCATTTGATATTTTCATGTCAGTGTACATCTCAAAGCATTCTGAATCAGCATTAGGTCTCATTAAATATGCCCACAATATAAGATGCATGTCTAAGCAGTTTGGTTTTTCTATGGCAAGGGCTTATGACGAAAATTTCCGTAAGGTGCGCAAAGTGATGTTGTTCGATTGGGCAGTTGTAAACGAAGACCTTTGGAGGTCAGCTTTTTATGACCATGTAAACATAGGGCAGGGCACCAATACACAAAGCACATTCAGGTCTGGTAAACAATCCCAAATCTCAAAACATCCCTTTCAAAAACGGGTCCAGCAACCCCAACATCAGTTCCCCTCAGGATTCTGCTGGACCTACTGTAAAACAGGGGCTTGCTCAAACTCCCAATGTAAACACAAACATCAGTGTGTCCAGTGTGGGAAAAAACATGCAACAGCAAACTGTAAAGATTGGCAACAAAAATCTCCCAACTCCAATAAAAGTAAATAAGTTAGATCAATTCTTAGAAGGATATGACACTCTAGCAAAATCAAAACTTATCCAAGGATTTACATATGGCTTTAAAATCAATTCAAATATAGTAAAAGAAGATCAACAATATCCTAGAAATCATAGGAGTGCTAGGGAAAACCGTGAGATTGTTAGGGAAAAATTGCAAAAAGAAATTGATAAAAATCGAATAAAGGGACCATTTAGTCAACCACCATTTAAGAACTTTATATGCTCTCCTCTAGGTGTAATTCCTAAAAAAGAAGCTGGATCTTTTCGTTTAATTCACGATCTTTCATTTCCAAAAGGTGATTCGGTTAATTCTTGGACCCCTCCTGAATTCACTAGTGTCTCATATCAAAATATAGAAACAGTCATAGAGTTGGTTCAGAAATGTGGCGTTAATTGTTTAATGAGCAAAGCAGACATACAAGATGCTTTCCGTCTGATTCCTATTCATCCATCAGAGTATCATTTGCTAGGTTTTTGTTGGGAGGATCAGTTTTATTATGATGCTTCCTTACCAATGGGTGCATCAGCATCTTGTCAGCTTTTTGAGAGTTTTTCAACAGCAGTTCAGTGGATTTTAAATAACAAATTTCACATAGATGGGGTTTCACATTTGTTAGATGATTTCTTCTTTGTGGGGAAAGCTAATTCTGGGGAATGTTCTACAGCACTAAATACATTTTTAAGTTTAGCAGATGCTTTAGGGGTCCCTATTAAAGAGGAAAAAACACAAACACCATCTACTTGCATTGTAATTTATGGAATTGAAATAGATTCAAATGTCATGGAAGCACGCTTACCCAATGAGAAAATAGAGAAAATATTACAGTTACTTCAGGAGTTTAAGGTCAGAAGAAAGGTTACTTTATGTGAAATGCAGTCATTGCTAGGCTTACTGAATTTCGCTTGTAGTGTGATTATCCCAGGAAGGGCATTTTTAAGGAGATTGTATGATCTTACTATAGGTCACAACTGTCCCCATTTTAAGATTACCCTTAATTCAGAGGCAAGAGCAGATTTGCAAGCCTGGTACGAGTTTGTCTGCAACTACAATGGAAAATCTTGTTTTCTGTATTCAGAATGGATTTCATCCGATGTTATAAAATTATACACAGATTCAGCGGGTGTGCATGGGGGTTATGCAGCAGTGTTTGGTTGTAGGTGGTTCACTGGTGAATGGTCTACTGATATGAAAGATTTACACATAACTGTAAAAGAATTATACCCAATTGTTTTAGCACTAGAAGTTTGGGGAGCAGCTATGTCAAATCACAGAGTTTTGTTTATGACTGATAATCAAGCAGTAGCTGCAATCATTAATTCCACCACCTCAAAAGACAAAACATTGATGAAGTTAGTTCGTAGATTAGTCATAGCATCTATGAGATTTAATGTTCATTTCAGAGCTAAGCATATTGCGGGGAAGACAAATGTTATAGCTGATCTTCTCTCTCGATTTTCCTTTCAGGAAGCACATCGCATGGCTCCCTGGTTAAACAAAAATCCAGTAATGGTTCCACAACATCTCTTGACACTGTAACAAACAAGCTTCTGCAGGCATCACTATCAAACTCCACAAGAGCTTCTTATCAACGCATGCTCAACTGCTATGAACAATTCTGTCAGGAACATTTCCCACAGTCATCTCTGTTGCCTTCTACTCACATTATGATTGCTCATTTTATTTCTTACTTATTCATGAAAAATTATCAACCCTCTACAATTGCATCTTATGTGTCAGCGATCAGTTACATGCACAAAATTAATTTCAAACAGGACCCAACAGATTCATTCTTTGTTAAAAAAGTTTTAAAAGGAGTACAAAATCTTAGGGGATCCTATGATAGCCGATTGCCAATTACAAAGGAAATTCTTTCCAAACTTATTTCAGCAACAGAGTTTGTCATTCATGGCCGGTACAATCAATTATTGTTAAAGTCAATGATGTCTTTGGCTTTCTACTGTTTTTTAAGAGTTGGGGAAATGGCACTAAAATCTAGCTCTGATAGGAATAAGGTTCTGCAGTTGTCAGATCTGAAGTTTGATTATTCTATGCAAATTGCAACAGGAATGACAGTAAAAATGCAATACTACAAACACAGCAATTCTCAGACAAAAACAATATTTATCCCCATAAATTGTAACAATCAGATGTGTCCAGTCAAAGCTATGCTTAATTACTTAAACATTGCAAAACACAATACAGGACCTTTGTTTCAATTTACATGTGGTACACCAGTATCATATGCATATTTTAATTCATCCCTCAAGTCTCTTTTGAATTTCATAGGATTAAGTGCACAGTTATACAAAGGTCACAGTTTCAGAATAGGTGCAGCAACAAGTGCTGCAGCTGAAGGCACTGCCCTTCCGGTCATTCAGCAAATGGGGAGATGGAAATCTAATGCATTCAAAAACTACATTCGAATGAACAATTTCTAATAAAAATAATCCATAGTAAGGTTATAGGCTTGTCAGAGGTCAACATGGATTGTCCTGACATATGTTATAAGATGTAGAGGTCAACAAGGCTTGCTCTAAAATTTATGCTATTCTTTACTAAATAGAGGACAACAAGGCTTGCTCTATAGATATTTTTAGGTACTAGGTAGAGGTCAACAAGGCTTGCTCTATACATGTACTTATTTTTTATATACTAGTCAAAGTTAATAAGGCTTGCTCTATACATATTTATAAATATACTACTATTGATAAAAAATCTTCTTTTAATATTTTATCAAAATTTTAAAATATAACTTTAGGTGGCCTGACTTTTCCCTAAGGTACAATGTCATCACAATAGAGGTCAACAAGGCTTGCTCTATTTTTAATGATTAGTTAGTTACAAAAATTCTGCCCATCACTTTGCGTGCCTTACACATTTATTGAAAATTTCTGTATATAATAGGTAGTGTATTGTATATTTTGGTCATTTACACATGTGAATTGTTATTTTGTTTTCTTTTTCTTTTTTGTTTTTATTCCTGATCTCCATTGAGTCTTCGGGTGGGGTCCCTCAAGCTTATTCACTTTCGGTCTTGGCGGTTTTTTAACCCCACCTTTGCAAATTTATTGTCATTTATTCAATTATTTTTGGTTAATCAATGTTTGACATTAATTTCATCATTTGATCAAATATATTTTATGATAAATTGAATAAATGACCTTTCTCACAAACAGAAGTTGTTCTGTCTTTCATTGCAAATGAACTCAGACTCACTGGAGAACATAACTGGTTTGTTTCATGTTGAAAAATAAATGGTATTTTATGGAAACATGATATGGAATGAAATTTAAAGTTTTCAAGTTATTGGAAAAATTTGGGTGACAAAAAACCTATTTTATTGTAAATAAAAACATTTTTGGCAGCAAATTTTGTAATAAGATACTGTTGTTATAATTATATACTCATCATTGATAACATAAATGATTAAGGTCTTTAGATTAGCCACCAGACATGTAGGTGGGGGGCATCATTTATTGTTGGCATCTGGTGAATAATTACATGTCAACAGATGGAATTTGCAACCTGGCATTGCAGGGTCACTGTGTATGCAATAGCCATCTTGATTAATCCAATTAGCTAATTAGCCAATCAGATTGAAGGAACCTATACTGAAATCTTATCTTGGTCAGAGGTATCTCAATTATTCACTTTTTTGTTTTAAGAGCTGCTGGACGCACCTAAATCTTAACAAGAATTCAATTTACCCACCCACCATCACCCGAAAAATTTATTTATATAAAATCGGTTGTCATAAATTACAAACAAATGTACCTTTTTGTTTTTGTCTTGTACATTTATTATTACTGTATATTATTACTTTATTTTTCCTCGACACAACTTAAATATAATATTCTATTTTTAACCTGTGTCTCAAATTATAATTTCATCATTCAACCCGTGTTTCAAATTACAATTGTATCACATTATTTTTTACTTATGTTATAATGTTAGTACATGTATTTCTGTTGTTGGGCGGTTTTTTAACCCCACCTTTGCAAATTTATTGTCATTTATTCAATTATTTTTGGTTAATCAATGTTTGACATTAATTTCATCATTTGATCAAATATATTTTATGATAAATTGAATAAATGACCTTTCTCACAAACAGAAGTTGTTCTGTCTTTCATTGCAAATGAACTCAGACTCACTGGAGAACATAACTGGTTTGTTTCATGTTGAAAAATAAATGGTATTTTATGGAAACATGATATGGAATGAAATTTAAAGTTTTCAAGTTATTGGAAAAATTTGGGTGACAAAAAACCTATTTTATTGTAAATAAAAACATTTTTGGCAGCAAATTTTGTAATAAGATACTGTTGTTATAATTATATACTCATCATTGATAACATAAATGATTAAGGTCTTTAGATTAGCCACCAGACATGTAGGTGGGGGGCATCATTTATTGTTGGCATCTGGTGAATAATTACATGTCAACAGATGGAATTTGCAACCTGGCATTGCAGGGTCACTGTGTATGCAATAGCCATCTTGATTAATCCAATTAGCTAATTAGCCAATCAGATTGAAGGAACCTATACTGAAATCTTATCTTGGTCAGAGGTATCTCAATTATTCACTTTTTTGTTTTAAGAGCTGCTGGACGCACCTAAATCTTAACAAGAATTCAATTTACCCACCCACCATCACCCGAAAAATTTATTTATATAAAATCGGTTGTCATAAATTACAAACAAATGTACCTTTTTGTTTTTGTCTTGTACATTTATTATTACTGTATATTATTACTTTATTTTTCCTCGACACAACTTAAATATAATATTCTATTTTTAACCTGTGTCTCAAATTATAATTTCATCATTCAACCCGTGTTTCAAATTACAATTGTATCACATTATTTTTTACTTATGTTATAATGTTAGTACATGTATTTCTGTTGTTGGGCGGTTTTTTAACCCCACCTTTGCAAATTTATTGTCATTTATTCAATTATTTTTGGTTAATCAATGTTTGACATTAATTTCATCATTTGATCAAATATATTTTATGATAAATTGAATAAATGACCTTTCTCACAAACAGAAGTTGTTCTGTCTTTCATTGCAAATGAACTCAGACTCACTGGAGAACATAACTGGTTTGTTTCATGTTGAAAAATAAATGGTATTTTATGGAAACATGATATGGAATGAAATTTAAAGTTTTCAAGTTATTGGAAAAATTTGGGTGACAAAAAACCTATTTTATTGTAAATAAAAACATTTTTGGCAGCAAATTTTGTAATAAGATACTGTTGTTATAATTATATACTCATCATTGATAACATAAATGATTAAGGTCTTTAGATTAGCCACCAGACATGTAGGTGGGGGGCATCATTTATTGTTGGCATCTGGTGAATAATTACATGTCAACAGATGGAATTTGCAACCTGGCATTGCAGGGTCACTGTGTATGCAATAGCCATCTTGATTAATCCAATTAGCTAATTAGCCAATCAGATTGAAGGAACCTATACTGAAATCTTATCTTGGTCAGAGGTATCTCAATTATTCACTTTTTTGTTTTAAGAGCTGCTGGACGCACCTAAATCTTAACAAGAATTCAATTTACCCACCCACCATCACCCGAAAAATTTATTTATATAAAATCGGTTGTCATAAATTACAAACAAATGTACCTTTTTGTTTTTGTCTTGTACATTTATTATTACTGTATATTATTACTTTATTTTTCCTCGACACAACTTGAATATAATATTCTATTTTTAACCTGTGTCTCAAATTATAATTTCATCATTCAACCCGTGTTTCAAATTACAATTGTATCACATTATTTTTTACTTATGTTATAATGTTAGCACATGTATTTCTGTTGTTGGGCGGTTTTTTAACCCCACCTTTGCAAATTTATTGTCATTTATTCAATTATTTTTGGTTAATCAATGTTTGACATTAATTTCATCATTTGATCAAATATATTTTATGATAAATTGAATAAATGACCTTTCTCACAAACAGAAGTTGTTCTGTCTTTCATTGCAAATGAACTCAGACTCACTGGAGAACATAACTGGTTTGTTTCATGTTGAAAAATAAATGGTATTTTATGGAAACATGATATGGAATGAAATTTAAAGTTTTCAAGTTATTGGAAAAATTTGGGTGACAAAAATTATATTATATCATGTACTGTGATATTCTATGAAAGGATAAAGCATATTATTAAAGATATAGAATATCAAACTTATTAAAATATTTTGAAATAATTAAACTGTAATCATTGGCAAAATAAATGTAAAAGAAATAAACAACAAGAGGCCCATGGGCCTTATAGGTCACCTGAGTATCATGCAACAACTTTCAAATGACCATGATGATTGAATTTTGTTCCTGTTTAAAGCTAGATGCTATGGCATTCAAAATTTTGAAAGAGGCACCATTGCTAATCATAACTATACACTTAGCAATTGCTTAATTTGGTTACTTAATACCCACAGGCAGGGTAGGAGAACAAAAAAATGCATTTCAACTTATTAGTAATATTCAGCAATAACCAGTAGTGCCCCTACCACACATGAACCCCTGACCCTAGGTCCACACATTGCACAATTTTTGAAAAGGCACCATTGCTTATCAAAAATGTTTGATTAATACTAAGGAGCAGATTTCAAATAATTAATTCAGTTTCAGTATATAAGTAGAGCCCCTCCACCTCTATGGTACCCCTGACCCAGGGGCCTTGAAATTCACAATTCTGGAAGAACGACCCATGCTAATCATAACCATATAGGTAGTTCATCTGCTTATTACCTAGAAGCAGAGAAGATTAAAGATTAATGTATTTTCACTATATATATATATATATATATATATATATATATATATATATATATATATATATATATATATATATATATATATCCCCACCCTAACACCAGAACTCCTAACCCTGGGGCCATAAAATTCACAATTTTGGTACAAGTACTCTTGCTCATCATAACTATGTACTTAGTTAGTCTATTTAATACCCAGAAGCAGAGAAGAAGATTTCCAAAGAATTAATGCATTTTCACTTTATAATCAATAGAGGCACGCCTTAACACCACAACCCCGTACCCTGGCGCCATAAAATTCACAATTTTGGAAGAGGCACTCTTGCTTATCATAACTATGTACTAAGTTGGTTCATTTAACACCCAGGAGCAAAGAAGAAGATTTTCAAAGAAATAATGCATTTTCACTATATATTCTATATAGCTCCGCCCTAGCACTAGAACCCCTGACCCTGGGGCCATGAATTTCATAATTTTGGTAGAGGACTCAATGCTCATTATATTCATGCCAACAGGTTGACTGCTCGATGTCCAGGAGTGAAGAAGAAGATTTTTAAAGATTTCATTAATTTGAGTGATTTTTGCCCCACCCCTCAGGCCCCAGGGGGGTTGGGACCATAAAATTCATAATTTTTGTTCCCCTTTACCCATAGATGCTGTATATCAAATTTGGTTGAAATTGGTTCAGTGATTTCAGAGAAGAAGCTGAAAATGTTTAAATGTTAACACACTACACGCGACGCACGACGACGGACGAAAACGGATAGCAATAGGTCACCTGAGTGACTCAGGTGACCTAAAAATCCTAAAGGACAATTGTTGTGGGGGATGTTAACGACGATTTGGCCATATGTCAGTCATATGAAGAATACAAGAATACTTCCTTCATCTAATCGTTGTTTACAATTGATTCATTCTGTACCAGATAAAATTTTCTATAAGTAAATTAAGATCGAATCTTAAATACTTCTTTAAATGAAGTAAACTTTAAAGTAATCCGATCCTTAAATGCTGAAAATAAGGAGTTAATGAATAATTGAAAATGCTTCGAAGAATGTCTCTGAATTCTAAAGCAATGAATAATTACGCACAGTAATTCTTCAAACTTCATCTCTTAAGGCCCTGTCAAACCAAGCTGCGTTCAAGAGGAGTCATTACGGCGTTGTTAAATTTTTAAAATCGCCGTGGAATCGCAGGGAAATTGCATAAATTTCTGTAAATTTTTCACAATGTGAAGATGTCAAGGCGTCCCTATACGGCGACGGACGCGATTCTACGGCGATCTCACGGCGTTCTACTGCGTCCCACGGAGATCTGTCGGCGAATGACTGCACTTTCGCGGAGTTTTCACGGCGTGTTAGGAGTTTTCACCTCGTGTTCACGGCATTCTCACAGCGCCGGCTGCGTTCACAATACGTTCACAATGCGTTCTATACCCATTGATATATATTCAGAAGGAATGGAAAACATTTTTGTTTAAAGATTCAAGTTAAACGATGAAAAAGATTTCTCATCATGCCAAGAGAAATTCTTAGTAATTAAAAATGTTCTATTTGAATAATTTAGAACGAAATTATTAATAGTTTTATGATTAAACTCCTTCTTTTTTCAATTTTATCGTTCAGATGTGTTGTTAAATTTATTTTTGATTTTATTATGAATGTTAAAAAAATAAACACACTGAAAAGTTGCCACAAAATTTAAGTGAAACAACAGAACAAGTTCTGGTGTAATTTTCTCTTCCATGTCTTAAATGCTCCTAGTGCAACAAATACGTCAGAATAATTGCTGATCAAATATGATGCCATTGCTTTTGTTTTGTGAGCTGGTTGACAACGCCGTGAAAGCGCATTGTGATCGCCAACGGACGCTGTAGAAACGCCATGGGAGCGCAATGATCGCAGTTTCAACTCCGTGTTGTCGTTGTGTTATCGCAGTCAAAAAGATAACAAGACGATTAATCTTATTACAAGCTCCGTAATTTTTAAGCGCGATAGAAACGCAGAGACATCTCCAAGGACTCCGCGACATCACCGTGAGGTCTCCGTGAGAGCGCAGTCTACTATCATTGCGTTCATGCTGAGATCATGTGCGTCTTCACAGCGTTCGTACGGAGCTCCCACTGCGTTGTCGGAGATGTCACCGCGCTGCTACGGCGATCACACAACGTTTCTACCGCTATCTTATCAGACCGCGATCACACGGCGCGTACTTTGTGCATGCCCAAAATGATCGCCGTCCCATGGCTTTCTAGAAGTCCCTACGCGGCCATACGGCGTTCAGTGGAGATATCGCCGCGTTGTAACGCCGCTGTAGGAGATTCTACTGCGATCACCTCGGCATTTTGCATTTTTTTATGGTCGCCGTGAGGACGCAGACCCGGTGTGAAAGGGGTTTAAGGTTAGTCATATTATATAAAGGGTAAGGTAATGAATCTCAAATAAATTTTCAGGAAATGCGAATAAAACATCTACTATGCATTTCTTATTGAAAATTAATCAATTTTCATATTTTAGGACCAACAATGATAGATATCCAGGTATTTGAAGAAAATTGCATGATTTTTAAACTTATAGGTACTTAGTTTTCAAATATTTGCTTCAAACATTTTATGGTGCATAATGTACTTAGTATAAAGCATTTCCTATAATTGAAAAAAAACATAAATATCTTCAATTTTCATATCAGGCTTTTAAACCTTTTTATTTAAGGCTGGACTGAAGAAATTCAATGACTTTAACAATTTAATTTTTAGAATACATAAAAGGACTTGTAAAATACTTGTAAAAATGAAAACTGACATGAGTGATTAATATTTTTTTTTATATTTGGATAAATGTAGGCCAACAAACTTATAAGTCAGCGAACAAGAAATCCAGTTAAATTTATTATTGGTTTTGCAAGAATTCTCTATAAGATTTCTGTTTTTAACCTTCATTTGATATTTACCCTGGGTGGAGCTTTGGCACGCATGATAGCAGTTTGGCTCGTGGTTATAATCATAAGCAGCTGAAATACATGTAAATCTTAGTAAAATTGTATTATACATTTTAAATCAAAGACATCATTTTGCTGTTGTTAATTATAATGTATTTGAATGTTACACTGTTGAGACGTTGATAAAAAGTTATGCAATTCCTCTGTGTATAGAATTAGAAAGTTAGACATATACCACAAAAATTTACTGCAATCAAAATTGAGACTATTTGTTATGAATAGTTATATCGGCCTCTTTGGCTATGTTAATTATTATGTGTTATTAATACCTTTCATATGAGAGATAAAATCATCTAAGCATCTGGTGTTCATATTGCTCAGGCGGAGAAGATCATCCCAGACTGAAAAAAGCATTATCATGGAGTAAGAATTTAACAAAATGCATTTAACATTCTTGAGAAAGCTTATAGTCAATATTTTGCCAATAAACATAATTTTCATATCCAATAAAACACGAAAAAGAGTAAAATACAACACAAAAGCAGACAAAGAGTATGATTTAAGGGGAGACAGGGAACATGTCACATGACTAGAAAGACATATTACGTCATAATTGGTGATGATATACATGTTAAACGTTGTTAAAATCAACAGTTATTGTGTCATTTTATACTAAATTCTAAAAATGTTTTTAAAACATTTAATTTTAGAAATTATTATTAATAAATTTTTTAAAGATCTTGCCATCATTTAGAAATTGTGAAGTTTCCCAATCCACACATTGGTTTCTCTTTACCCTGCAGTCTGACGTCAGTGACGTCATAGACGTAGTGTTTCAATTCTCAGTGCAGCGAGATCAAGTACACACACCCGTCATGATCAGTTTTATTTCATAATAAACAGGTCACAGTCAATGTATCGTGATAAATTTCTGAGGCAGATTTTTTTTAATTAATATTTTTTCGTATTGAGTAGTAGAGATTCTCTCTATTTAGATAATTTTGAATGTTTATGTTTTCGTGTGACGTCACAATTGATTTCCCGCACTCCCGCAAACATGAAGCGTTTTTATCATGCTTACGTCTAATTCAACGATGTCCTGTGCGATATTGAGGTAAGCTTCACCCTATGATATTTATGCAGTGAATAATTACGATGAAGGACTGACATTCAATCGTAAATTTAGAAATATTTATTGACAGAATTTTTTCCAAATGAGGTTTTTGTCGTTGAAGCTGCCTTGAAAAATGCAGAAATTATCCCACCCAAATACTATATAAAATTAAAACAATTGCTTTCAGATAATTTAAACACTATAAATATTCTGAAATATTTGAGTATAAAGTGTTACCTATCATATTTATTGTTTGGACGTAAAAATTCGCATTATGGACTCCGTTCTGAGCCCGTAAACATGAAGTATCTAAACTCCATACAAACTCTAAACAGGGTGGTATTTGTGGGGCGATATCTTTTAAATAAGTCAAGAAATCCCATGACAGGACCTTTTTAAAATGTTAAGTACATATTAAATAAGTAATATAAAAAATACGAAAAACATTCATTGACAGAAATTTTTTCAGGTAAAGGTCCTGTTCCTCCTTAAATGGCTTGAACCTCTTACCGTTACTTCTTTCAAGTGATGTTTAATTCATATCCACAAAAGACATGTTTCCAATGTTTCGATTCCTCAAGAAACTCAGAACAAACCTTTATTACGAGTGTGGCACTGTATGGTCGTAACAGTGTGATGGGAAGGTAGGTGAGTGAAGTACGTGTTCATTATTTCTAGATGAAATAAAACAAATTGATTATTTTCTCTAGTTTTTAAAAGAAAAATCAAAAACATAAAATATGACCATAAATTATTCTTAAATACCTTGGAAGTTATGGTCTTGTCTACAACTATTGTCATAGGTATCTGTCAAAAAGAAATGTTATTCATTATCATTATACATCATTATAATTATTCTAAACTATACAATTATTGCTGTTTTTTTAGGTCAATACAATGATTTAGCCATCTGAGGAGTACAATATTAACCGAGCCCGAAGGGCGAGGTGAATATTGTACTTCGAAGATGACTAAATCATTTTAGTGACCGAAAAAAACCCAGCAATAATTGTTTTATTATACGATTCACTGATAAATGATACAGCTCATTACTTGTTTGCATTTAATTAAGTCCTAGCCAAATACAAGGGAGAAAAGCAGAATTAAAATGTAAATAAACCTTACAAGTCGTATCAATTTGAAATGTTTTTTTGTTGTCAATTTTAGTTGTCATGAAAAAAATATACGGTCGAATGTCAGTCTTTTTTATAGAATAGATTTTGAAAGGAAGGAGCATTATCAGGGAAAATTGACTGCCAAAATGTAAAAATTGTTGTTCAGTAAAAGTGTTGGAAGGGGGTCTCCCTGCATCCCCTCTTACCACCCTCGCCCAAAAATATATATATTCGCTTATGTTTTGTTCACAAGTAAAAAAAAAAGTCATAGTCGTTTAAATAGCTTTCCAAAACAATTTGTATCAATTTGGAATTTCCCGATCTATTTTTAGATCAATGTAAAGGAAGTAAATCCTTGTATTCACCTGGAACGTCATGTGCAGGTCAACGTTATTTGATCGGAGTGAGTTGTGTCAAAGGGATTCAGTAACTTTACGTAAAAAATGAAGGTTTGAGAGCTGTGCCGAATTTGATTTCTTTCCTTGTTTCGGTATAATAAACAATTCATTGCGTGAGTGTTTGGGAAACATGAAGATTTATTCAGCCAAGAAATATCATTCCCTTCGGCCGAAGCCCTAGGGCAATATGATTTTTTTTTGGCTGAAAAAATCTTCATATTTTCCTCATTATCATGCAATAAATGTATAATATTTTAGAACAATCGTTAAAACTGGGAGGAAAAATCCTTACAAAGAAAACTTCCCAATGTTTTACAAAAGAAGAAAACTCTCCTTGGATGGAATTTAGACTTTTTTCATGTATGAAGCTCAAATAATTATTTTATCAAACTTCTGTATAGATAAATTTATCATTCAAGTTTGAAAACTTCAAATATTCGATAATTAAAATCTTTTTCTGCTGTAAAATCTTCTTAAGTCGAATGTTTGAATTATACCTAAAGAAAGCACTTAACTCAAACTATAATATCATGTTTTTAAATAAAAATATAATTAAAAAAGTCCTTTTCCTGCTATTATGCAAAGGAGATACATTCAGGCGATTAGTTGTCTCTATAAAATGATTACGTCTTTTTGGAGAATATTAGCATAGTCCAGAATTTGCAGAAAAAAACAAATCTAACCGTTCGAACGTTAAATAGATGTACAATGACACGCTGTATTAAAGATTCTGAAATAAAAATATTATTTAAATTTATTCAAATTTAAGGAGGAATATTACGGTAAAGATCTCGGTGTTCTAATATTTTAGAAAGAATAGCAGGGTCTACGTTTTATTATGAGAAGCTCCGCGTATGTTTAATCGAAAGAGGAAAAAGAAGACACACATTTTCATTTTGTAAAAAAAAATCTGAAAGTCAAATGAAACTGAGATTAATGTAAGAATCTTTTGGTCAAGTTTAATTTCTGTGAAATCAGTAATTCTTAAATTTTCAATGTTAAAGTGGTATAAAGTGAAAAACAAATCCGTGTCCTCAATGCAATGTGTAACTTCAAATACGTGACAACTCAACACTTCAATCCTTCTTTTCAACGAGAATGTGGGATTTTACTGTAAATGCATTCAGTGGTGGAAAAATGCACCCCCCCCCCCCAACATACACACACTTTGAAGCGATACAAATCAATTCAATTCAATTATTGTCATGAAATAAGAACTTCGTAGTTGGTCTCGTTTTTTACTTACGAGTTGTTCGGTAATGGTAGAATATATGTCTGTCTGAACACGTACAGCTGGGAAGATTTAGACCTGAAAAGAAATGACACAATGACGTGACATGATGTCAAATCCTCTGAAATAATATATGGTTTGACTATTGAAGGATGTTTAAAAACCGTACAACTTTGAACTCTTATTACTAAAATAAGGCATACTATCTATTATTAAAGTGACATCATCACCATGTGAAAGCTAGAAATATATGAATGTATGTCTATCGGTCGTATATACATGTAGTAGTGTACTTTAGAGTTCTGAAATGAACTACTAGTATATACCTATAAGTACTTACTTGCCATTTTCTTGACTAATGTTGTCGCACAAATATGATCCGTTTGCCGCAGGTAATCCAATTGTTTAAACACTAGAAGAAAGTTACGATTAGAAAGAAAAAAGCAAAATAGGTTTTATGCTGGTCAAAGTGTTTTCTTATTTTTAAAACTTGAAGTGACGCTTTTCCAATTTATTTTTCATTGCATTTACAATGATTAAATAAATGATCTTCTACAACTGTCTAAATTTTTGGCAAATCTGTATGAGAAGAAATAATCATACTTCATTTACAATGATGCTACTTAATTGCATATCAAAACACATAATTTTTGAAAAAAAGAAATAATCTGGTGACCGTCATGCCGTCATGCATTTAACTTTTTATTTACGACAAAAAAGTAGTATCTTTTCAAGAAAATTTTAAAGCAATCTATATAGTACCCGAATACGGTGAAAGACAGTTCTCCCTTTCTGCATTGTTGAAAACATCTGAAAAAATGAGAAGCATATTTCAAGCAACAAAATGCAACGACGAAAACAGTGTGACAGTAATTTTCCCCCAAACATTGTAAAAAATGGGATACATCCCATAGATTATGATGAGTGAGATATCATTATCATAATCTATAGGGTACATCCTCTCTATATCCTTGGGATATATCCAGTTTGAGCATTTTGTGGGAGAAAAATTCCACTGGGAGAAAAAATCTCAACTGACACCTTTTCTTCCATGGGAGAAAAGTTGAATAGTTCTTAGGACTAAAAATCCCATCATTCTCCCATGGGATTCAGACTTTAAGAACTTCATATCTGTTAAAAATAGACATGTTTGTTAGTTCAACACGAGACCCTCTAATGCTGTATTGTAAACGTTTTACATTTGCTGTGTATTCTTTTTAGCGCTTTAGGCGGAAAGCATTCTCCGCTAATTCAAGTACAACGCTAAATTCCTCGCACATATACCTATAAAGAAGAACATTAAGATATGTGCTAAAAAAAATCAAATCCACGCTAACTTGTTCAAAATCCAATTTCCGCCAAATATCGTAATACATTTACATACGATTTTTCCTTTGTCCTGCGCCAAACCTGTCTAGACCTACGTTGTATATAATATATAGATGTCATAGCTTTTATTTTCCTGTCAATACTTCCTGCAAGGGCTGTGTTCAGAATTGCATCCAAACCGTTCTCAGTCACCTTTGTTGTTACAGTTTGGTCATTTTACTTTCCCTTTTCTTACATTGCTGCCAGTACCCATGTTGTCTCTCATCTCTTACTGCTGTTGATTGCTGCTCTGTGACTGGTTATTGTTATGAAGCCTATCACCAGCATAAAAACCCATTCAAACACATTTTTCATAGGTTATGCGTCATTTTCGTCGCCAATTTATAACAATTTAAGGTAGATCGCGGGTTTGCTGACGTCACAATAGTATAACTAGTTTTAATTGTAACGGGGACCGTTACAGATGTTCCCCAAACGCTCCCCAAGTCCCTTTTTGTGCCATTTTCCTGTACGACATTTTTAAAATATGCTCATTATCAAAGAATTTCATATAAGAATTATTAAAGCTACAATGATATCAACTATATTTTATTTAACTCATTGCACGCGCACGCACGTGCATGCACATGCAAGATGATCACAACATGTTGTCTTAACCATAAACATTTCTTTGTGTCGTGAGAATCAATAAGACAAATCATAAAAAATGTAAATGTTACCATTTTTCAAATATATTGGTCATTTTGCATATTGTGCGCGTGCACTTGCATGCATGCTTGTCCTTGCATTCCATTTTGATAGTAGCATAATGTAGTAATCCATCATACCTATTCATATTCTAAATTTCATCCCGTTTTGTTGAGAAACAAGAAAGTTATAGGCATTTAAAGTTTCAGCCAATCAGATTGCAGCGCATGTGCATGCGCATGCTTTTATGATAATTGTTATACATCATGCTGTAGATCTTCATTATGTATGACTATGTTCAAAATTTCAAAGGATTTTTTCAAAAAACAAGACAGATATTGAGAATTTAGTTTCAGCCGATCAGAGCAAAGCGCACGTGCATGCACGTGAGTTCTTGCTATTTTGACCATGTCATTATGTCTATACTACTAATATATCCTCACATTGTGAGTTTCAAAGCATTTCATAAAAAAAAAAATAGAAAAGTTGCGGCTATATCTATTATATTGGTCATTTCACGTGTTGCACGTGCGCGCTCTTGCAAGCACGTGCGCGCAAAATGACCTTGATTCCGCAAATCTACATAACATGTCTACTGACCCTAAAAAGGTTTTACCTACATCGGATGAACAGTTTACAAGATCACTCCCGGACAAAAAAGTACCCAGGAAGAAGAAGAAGAAGAAGAAGAAGAACAAGAAGAAGAAGAAGACTAGATACGATCTCGTTGCGAGCAACGAGAGGTCTTCCGTCCGATTCAGGAAAAAACAAACTCTCGTTAAATCGAGCTGAAAAGTGATTCAAAATTTTGGTCACAAGGAGGATTGAACAAAGGTCGCCAACGTAAATGCGCTTTTTTCCCTCTTTTATCCCCAACGCACAAACCGTCAAGGTATTGTGAGTACTGCTCTAAATATACTTGTGTATACTTTTGCAACAGTAAAACTGTCTAAGAATTCGCGAATCGCCGCGCTTTCTGTAAGCCCCGCCCCTTTTCCCAAACTACGTCATGGATGCTGAGGTTAGACAAACATCTCTTTATAAACATGGCTGCAAAGAGGCAAGATCAACACGTTTTTGCAATTTTATCCGACTTACCTCATGACATATCCGAAAATTATATAGAGGGAGAAATTTCCATGAAAGCAAGGCAGCAAGGCTTTAAGTATTATAGTGAGAATTATTTCGAGAGGGTGAAATTGTATAAAAGCGACAAGGAGAATGAAGTCCGAATTTCCGCAAAATGTCACCGCTCCCAACGGAAAAATGACTCTCCGCATTCTTTAAATATAGACGTATCGCCAGGATCCTTGGGTTTGGCGCATTGTTCATGCACAGCTGGGTATGTTTTGTTTTAAAATTTGATGCATATGATTTATCGATACATTGAACATGTTGAATATTCCGATATCTTTGCTGTGAAAATCGTAAAATTAAACCCGACACTCGTTTTTTTTCCAGAGCCAGTGGGTCATGTTCTCACATTATTGGCTTGCTGATGGCTCTTCAGCATTGGATTCTGATGGGTTTTAAAGCAGTCCCTGATAATCTAACATGTACTAGTATGCCCCAGCAGTGGTCTGTGCCAAGAGGAAGCAAGATTGAAAATTCTGCTGCTCCCCAAATTTGCATTATACCCCACCCTGATAGAAAACAGAAACCTGTAGAAAATGTTTTGACAGAATGCAGGTAAGGCCAAAATAAAAAATACTCCTGTTTCCTGTCACCGGACTTACCCTACATTTTACCCTTTGACCCTAATAGTTTCTATTACATTTTCATTTTTGGGGTAACTATTTTTCTAAAATACTGAAGTCGGCCAACGATATTTACAGAATTAATACAACACAACTGTACAGGATACCTTTACTTTATAAATCTTGATTAGCAAACTTGCTTTGTAAACTGTTAACATATCATTTTCTTGTTATTACATGCTATATGTACTGCATTCATTGAGTTTTGAAAATTAATTTTTTTTCCAAAATGAAATTTCTTCCCTACCTACCGACCCTAATTTTTTTGGTCAGGGGACAGGAAACAAGAGTATATTTTCTTTTGGCCTAACCAAAAATATCGTTAAAACCTTATAAATTAAATAACATTACTATTAGCAACAATTAAAATTTGTAATTTCTACATGTATGTATTTATAATCTAATTTTTAAAGTTTCTTGATTAAAATTCATTACCAGGGTACATTGTATTTTTAGGAAGATTTATGTGAATGGAGAAGATGTTGACCATTTAAAAGCCTTAAAAGGATTGCCAATCAGTTACTTGGTGTCAAATCCCATGAAGAGGAAAATGATCCATTTGGGTGAAGTTGGAATAGGAAGTGGTCTAAGCACACATGTATGTTTTGTACTATAATTCAGATTACTTCTCTCTAGCTCTCTCTATTTCTCAGGCAGAACAAATATTTTAGAACTATAATCATGATAATTAAGTCAATATTTCAATACTTTATCATATGTGATATGCCGGTACATCATGTAATTAAATTTCATCAAATAACAACAATATTGCATGTGTGCATATACCGGTAAACATGAATAAAATACATAATTATACACTACATACTAAGGGGTAATGCGTTTAGTCAAGAAAATACCCAATTACATGTATGAAATGCATTTTAACTGGTTAATATTTATTTTTAAAAAATTAAAAGCTTTGACTTAGGTTTTGTTTTTAATGCAAGGAGGAAAAAAATTTGAAAGCATAGCACAGACATACCATATTTGGTTAATCAAAGTAAATAAAGAGAGTTTGAATTTTCCAGATAAAATTTTAAAACGTTTGATTCTCTCAATAGCTCTTTCAACGTGAACTCTATGTTTAGCTATTTTCTTGGTTAGTAAAGCATCACTCTTGGTCATTTGTTTTCCAATGGTTGCAAAGGGTGGTATGTTTAATTGCAGCCCACATTTCTCTACTTCCTCTTCGATGTTAAATCCTTTATCTGCCATGAGTCCATCTCCTTGGAGTAGGTAACCCTCATCCAACAAGTCTTTGAGCATGTCTTCAAACTTTGATCGCACAAAAATATCCTTGTCAGATATACCGCCACTAAATAACATGGAAGCAAATGTAACTGAACCCCTTGGATCACACACTACTAAACCTTTCATAGTATTGCAGCTTTCGATGTCAAACTAAATTCTAAAACGCAGCATGGTTCGAGGTTTTCCGGAAGTATCGTCGCTCTAAATTTTACACAAAAAATCATGAATTTCACAAAGAGCACAGTCGTTACCGCAAAATATTGAAACAAAATAATAATAATTATTGTTCGACAAATAATTTCCAATGAAAATATTTTGCGGTAACGAGTGTGCTCATGGTGAAAAAAATAAAATGTCAACGCGTGTAAAAATGCTATGATCATGAACCACCATATTTGTCTTTGTCTTTTATACAAACATTAAAGGATCAATTAGAAAGGTGTATAAAATTGATTATGTAAGTGGATTGACACTCATATCACACCTGTAAGAAAATGTCAACTGAGGCACCTGTAGAGCATGTCTGACTACTGGAATAAATATGATGGTTTCAGTCTAAAAACATATCCGTTAAAAGTGCCGATTTATCGACAGTTCTTTTTCCAGAATTAGATTTGATTTACAGACAAGTACAACTTTCAACTTACTATATGTGTGGCTATCGCAAATATAAACTTTCACGTCAATTATTATGTTTGTTTATGACTGTGACGAGTATAGGAAATTAGAGTTAAACTTTGTTATAAGAATCCGTAATTTTTTTTAGAGTGAGAGTCAGTGATTCATTGGTAGGTCATAGGTTATCAAATTAATAGATAACACACATGGTGATAGAAAAAAGCAGTCAATTGTTCAATGAAGGCAATGGATGTGAAAAGAATTTAAAAATAACATTTCTGAAATCAAAGGAAAACAAACTTATGATTTCACAGTTGGACATGACGTTACTCGGTGTACGTCATTTGTGACGTCATAATAGATGCAGTCATCGGGAATCAGTGACCAGGGAGAAATGGTGAAATTCCCTTTTTTTAAAGGATATACATGTAGTTTTCTATCGCTTTGTTAAATTTATTAAATTGAAACGGGAAATTATCTATTAAAAAAATTAATAACTCTGTAAACTGGATTCAATGTAGAACTTGTGTGTGTGTTTACATAAAATGCACATGATAAGTATTTTAACTATTCGATTTAAAGAGATCACGGTGGGCATGCGTTGACATAAATTATACGTTCATTACATACAATGATATGAGCATTTTTGTGAACTACAGGACTTGTCTAAAATATATTAAAAATTATATAATTTACTGTAACATTTTCTTTTAAAATATATTTTTTTAAAGATAAGAACTTTTTTAATGTTCGTCCTTTGTATACCCCCCCCCCCCCCTTCTTTTCTGAAATTGTTTACTACGACCATAAATGTGTTTTCTATTTCAAGAAAAAGTGAGACCATTTTACACTTTTCCTCTATAAATGCTGTCTATAATAAGGTCTTATTAAGGAGCCTTTTCTGATAAAATCCATCTTTCCCTGTAATAAAACATGCAGTAAAATTTTAAAGTCAATCGGAAACAATGTATTAACAACACACTACAAATACCAATCTCCATACATAAATTATTTTACTGGATTAAACATGACCCAGCGATTGGCTGGTTCGTGAAGATGAGAAAAACAATCTGAGATTGAGGTGTGCGCGAATCTCGCAGATATTTCTCGCTTGGCTGTGAAATTTTTTTTAACAACTGAGGCCTAATATAAGCGAGTGCTCGCCAAGTTATAAAAATGTATAGAAAAAGGTCCTTTCAACTATTGTGTACATATACTCCTTTTCAAGTAATGTACTGCAGGCACGTAGTATCCAGAGGGGGGCATGGCACCCACTTTTCCCCCAACATTACCTGTACTATAGAAAATTTCTATTAAAAAACATGGTTGCCCCCCCCCCCCACTTTTTACCACAGTATATACATAGGAAGAAAATATAGGAGAAAGTTGTGAAAGGAACTTTGCCTTGAAAAAACTTGGCCTCTACCCCCCCCCCTCCCCCACGAAATAGGATTTTCGAGTTTGGGTAAATTTAAATTTTCTGTAGCCCCGCCCCCCCCCCCACTTTCAAAAACGATGCTTCGTGCCTGACTGGTATTCGTCTAGATTTTTATCGCAAATCTCGCTTCAAAGTATACACTCCGGCCGAAATAGCGTTGCGTTGTATTATGCTACTGTTGGATCTGACAAATTGAACTATTTGAATCACGGATTTCGTTTTGTAAAACAAGCGTTTTAATTGGTTGATTAGGACCCGCCCGCTCTCGCGCAAAGCGTCGTTGACTTTCTTATGAAAAAAAAAACAACAAGCAAACTATAATTTTTTTTTTAGCATGTAATATTCCTTACGCAGACGATTTATGGATATCATTCGATGGCACACACTATTTCATTTCATCCTACATGTATTTCTGCCGATTTCCTATTGACGACATTTTTACCCTTTAGGTGTTTTTTTGTGCGACTTTTCAGTGCATTAAAAACATTTTCTCCATGTTTTAGTCATAACTGAGCTATTTAATTGTGATGGCAAACACAAATTTAAAACGAGGTATAACTAGAAATCATGTAATTACCATCTGATAGCGGACAACTTGTTATTCAGTGGGAAAAAATAAATTCATAATTATAGGTGGTAAAACGCGTAAAACAACGGGTTTATTCAAAAGTTTACTGTTTTATTGCAAAAAACTATCAAAATACCATATGTTTTTAATGCATCTGTGCTACTTCGTTCCCATTTCTACGGTCGCCATTGCAATAAACATGCGACCAGAAAAATCTAGATCTTTGTTCTTTTTTGCAGGAAGTGAAATTTTTACTGCTATAAGCAAATGTTATTCATTAAAAATATGAAATATTACTTATACTTCACGTTAAAAATAATTAATGTAACAACATTTACCAAATCTAAGTACGTTTTGTTTTTAATCGGGCATTGAAGAAAAATCAAGAGGCCTATGAGCCATATTTGTCACCAGTGCATTATGCAACAACTTTCCAGTGATTGAATTTAATCAATGGTTTTAAGTCAGATGTTATAGCATTTACAATTTTGATCACCATAACTATAAATTGAAGTCCGGATGCACCCTTTTTTGTCATGCAGTCCGCTAACTGATATCTCCCGGAACACCATTTCACTGTGGTATTTTGGTCACAGTTTATTGTTTCACTTATAGCCGCTATGTCTATGCGAAGTCTTTTATCTTCAACAGGTTTAGTGGAATTTAGCGACTCAATAACACTTTTATTGTCTGTATACACTTCCACCACTAATTGGTGTCCAAGGATTTCTTCTAGCATACTTTTGTGGAACGCTGCTGACTCCAATCCTTCCTGTAGACTTAACGCTTCGGCAGCAATAGTTGAACGTACAACTCGTCTTATCTTATTGCTTTGCCAGGTTATTGGGCAGCAGTTTCCTTCGTTGTCGGTTAGCCATACTATATGAGCTCCTGTACTTCCCACACCATCATTGAGATTCCCTAGGGAGGCATCTGTAAATACCATTATTTTCCAATCTGTGTCATTGTCCTTTAATTTTGGAAAACACTGTAGATTTCATATCCTTCAATCGGTTGATCACTTTGATCGCATGAAGTAAATCATTGACGTGAGCTTCTTTCAATTTTGTATTAAGGTCCACCATTTCAAAAGACATATCTGGTCTGGAACTTTGCACCACCCAGTATAACTGCCCAACAAGTTTTCTAAATAGAGTTTGTTCTTCAGGAGTGAGAATATCCTGTTTCTGTAGAGCTCTGTCAGGATCCATTGTCATACTTTTAAGTGATTGGACATAATCTGTGTGATCCAAGGTGATTCTGTCCTTTTCTTGATTTATTTGAAAACCAAGGTAGTTGAAAGTTTTCTCCTCTATTTTTCCTGCTAAGAACCTTTGACGTAAATGCATCATGACTCTCTCTAATTGGTCATCCCCAGCATGCAAGAAATCATCTACGTGACAACAAATAATTCCATGTAGTTTTCGAGTCTGTAATACGAAGACGGCAGGATCCAACCTGGACTGTTTACATCCAATTTTAAGAAGTTCCTCTTTCACGCTCAGGTAGAACTGTCTAGCTCCATCCTTCAATCCGTACAAGCAGTGTCTAAGTTTCCATAGCATACCTTTGGAAACGCCACTCTAAATAGGTGGCTTGAGATAAACATCACGATGCAATTCTTTGCCTTGTAAGAAAGCAGATTTTATATCTGTAGTCTTTATGATCCATTGTTTACTTGCTGCAATAGTTAGTAATATGCGTATTGCCCCTTTGCTTGCAGTGGGACTATCTCGTTGAACCATGTCTTTATCTTCAAAACCCCTTGCAACGAGC